GGTCAATCAGAGCAGATAATGTTGGTCAGGGCGGTTGATTTGGTCTCTCTGCAATCTTACAGTCGACATGAATTGCTGAGACGGACCATTTAAGCGGCATCATTTCATCATTTTAATAGTTTTAATGCTCAACAGGTACACAGATCTGGGCAGCGTGTGCTGTGTTTCCCAAAAGTCACACCCTGTGCCAAGCTGGACTTGAATAATTGAAGTGGTTTCGTGTACACTCATTCATCTGAAGTGCTCTCTCATAAGTCTTCCTCCTGAGACGGATTTGAGCGGGAAAAGGCGGAACAGTTCCTGCATTAATGAGAAGCTCTTTGCTGCATCCCAACTCTCTGAAGATAGAGGCTATACAATCCATCCAACATTACGCTGTTAGCCACGTGTGTGTGTGTGTGTGTACACTTCTCAGAATACACATATTTTGATATTCCATTTCAGGCAAATCTGTGGAGAATATCAATCAATATGTAGATTTGTCTTCAGTTTTGTAAATATTAAACTTTCCCACTCCTGTAGGCCTTTTCCACAGCTATCAACCAACTTAGAAATGCATTTCATGACTTTGTTGTAGCCTATCAAGAAAGGTGAGCCAGAGTTGAGGAAACAGATGTTAAATAGATGTTTTATATGTCATTATCCAGATTAACTTGGCCTGAAGTCAACACCAGGGGTCATTGTCTCTACATAAAAAGGACGTCTGATGGAGGCCTTGAAGTTGGCTGAAACATCACTTTTTTTACAGAAATAAAGTCCGGTCTACGTATGTAGAGTGAGTATTGCACTTTTCTTCTGAAGTTTAAAATGTGGATTATTGAGTTGAACCTCCTCTACGATTGGTTGAGCATCTGCCTTTTATTTTCATCTACTTTGTTGATGGAAAGGGCCAGAAATAAATCAATTCAATATTTAATCTGTGATTTGACAGCACTAATATTCTACTAACTGAAAAGTTTATATAATATGTGTGTGTGTGTGTGTGTGTGTATACATAAAAGTCTATGTGTGTGTGTGTGTGTGTGTGTGTGTGTATATATATATATAGGCCTATATATATTGTATGTATATATATATATATATATATATATGTGTGTGTGTGTGTGTGTGTGTGTGTGTGTGTATATACATATATATATATATATATGTGTGTGTGTGTGTGTGTGTGTGTGTATATATGTGTGTATACACATATATTTTATTAACAAACTTTTATGTTAAATGTGATTTATAACGATTACTCAATTTGACAGCACTTATGTATGTTAACCTATACACATATTGCTTGGTTGTGGCATAATTTATATAATCTTACCATTAATAACCTTGTTTAAGTTAATTTACTTGTTTCCCAAGGTTTATTGAACATTCTAAGATTATATAGTGAGATGATGTGTGAAAAAAAAATTAATATCTAGGTAAATATGCACTTGTAAACAGAATATCATTTTTAATCAACCTGCTATTTTGACAAAATATGTTTTAAAAATATATTTAATTGTGTGTATGTAATAAATAAAATAATAGATATGAAATTAGCCAAAGTCTTTGGTTTTATTCCACAAAATGCTAGTAAACACAACATCAAAAAACATAATTTGAGACGTTGGTGGAAATTTCTATTGCACAATTTTAATAATCTAGGGTTTTAGTACACTTTAATTTATTCTTATACTTATTATATATATATATATATATATATATATATATATATATATATATATATATAGAGAGAGAGAGAGAGAGAGAGAGAGAGAGAGAGAGAGAGAGAGAGAGAGAGAGAGAGAGAGAGAGTTGTCAAACGATTAATCGCATCCAAAATAAAAGTTTGTGTTTAAATAATATGTGTTGGTGCACTGTGTATAATTATTTAGTATATATATCTAAATACACACACATGCATGCATATTTACAAAAAAAAATATTATTTATATATAAAAGATTTATATTCATATAAAATGTAAATTATATATAAATCTATATACAGTATATTTTGGATGTGATTAATCGTGATTAATCTTTTGACAGCCCTATATACTGCATATATATATATATATATATATATACATTATCCCACTAAAGGCAAAACGGACATCCGGCAATCACAGAAAACACAGAGGACATACAGACGCAGCATAACGCCAGAACTTCTACGGTTACACAAACTTTGCTTTCGCCCCCTCTAAATCAGGCCCCTTTACCAGCATCTGCCATCTGTTCCAGGAGAATCTGTTTCACTCCCCGAGCCAAGCAAGGCCGTTATTGGTCCTAATGGCGCTATCAGCTAAGCCGCTAAACCCAATTACTGCTTAAAAAGGGAGGCCACCCCAGCTAATCATGGCCGCCTAACCTGATTTGGCTGTGATGAAGAGATGGGATAAAGATCAGTTAATGCAGGGAGAATGATCTCACAAATACAAAAAACTCAATTCATTTCTCCGGGAGGCCAATCTGTCCGATTCAGCGCTAATGGAGTGGAGTTTCATTAGACTCGAGGCGTGCTGCTCGCTCTTATCAGCCTGATGACAAATAATATCAAATAAGGGTGATCTTCATTAGCGACATGTGCCTCAAAAAGCTTCGTTTTGACTCGAGATGGGTTGATGCAGAATGTCTTAATATACTGACCTGGACATCATTGTGATGGCCTAACATGGAAGCAAGTATAGCTAGTGAATCATTAAATACTAAGGCTTTACAAACTGGATTTGGGATTTGAACAAACCCTATGTCTTATGGTTAAGCGTGTTTGATCAACAATTGTACTTCAGGCTTGCTCAAAAGAGTTTTTTTGGGGGGGCCTTTTCAAAGCGATCAGATTTAAAATCGAAGGGCAGATCTAAAAAATATTGAGACTTGGGCCTGTAGGCTATAACCACACTAAAAAATATTGTTGGTTTAACTTAAAAAAATAAGTAGCCTGGTTGCCTTAAAATTTTAAGTTCATTGAAATGGAAAAATTTAGTTAATACAATGAAGGAGATTGATTTAATCATCAGAAACTCAAAATATTATGTTCTCTGAACCATATAAATTATTTAAGTTGATGTTGTGGTACAAATCATGAACGTATTTTTTTACTGTGCACCTTTCAACTGTGTGTGTTGGACACAAATTTGTGTAATTACATGGGCATTACACTGCATTACGACATAAATGTGGTTTATGAGGACATTTCACGAGTCCTCATAATTTAAATCACTTAAAAACAATGTTTTATTAAAAATTGCAGAACGTTTTATGTGACGGATATAGGGTTAAGACCATACAGTTTGTAGTAAATGTCCTTATAATGATGTGTGTGTGTGCGTGTGTGTGTGTGTTCCTGCCCTATTACCCTGATAACCGTTATAAGGGACAAAATATCCTTAAAGATATCCTTAAATATCAGAAATCCTTTTGCGTTATAGTGAAAACTCGTCTCCTTTGTGCACTTTTAGGCCTTAAAGTCAAGTCCTGTTAACCACACCATCTGTTAATAGGTCTGGTTTGACAGCGTGTGTGCATGCGTGTTCACCTGAGGGTACAAATTGATTTATTCTGCCACTCTCATCTGCAACCCTGCAGTAAGAGTGAGTCGTGCATGCGGCCGCGGGCTGAAGGGCAGGTCTGGACCAACAGAGCCGGGCCAGGCCTTACAGACGGACATTAGGCCAAACCGGAGTTAAAATCCTATTAGTTTCAGCTGGGAATCAGATTATCGTCGTCGAGAATCACTCGTCTGGCAACTAGGGTCTAATTTACGCCAATCAACAGCAATTATTGAGGGGAAGGGGAGCATCTATTAGGGAAGCTCATCCACTTAGGCTAATGAATGGGGCAGATTCAATCTCTTACTGAAGAGACGTAGGCCTATTTGGGAACTGCAGCTGGAGGCGAATGCACTGCATTCAAGGGGCACCACTGTTATCTGACTTTGTGTGTGTTTGTGAGGAGAGACATTCATTTGGACCGAGTTTTATTATAAATGGCAGTCGTATCAGACGTTTCAGATTTGTTTTGTATAGGGCCTATTACATTTGCAGTAGGCCTAATACTTGGATCAATATATGAAACTGCGTTATTTGCTTTGTTAATATACTGTCAAAACTGATCATGAGAGAGATTTAGCAACCCTGCTAAACTGTGACTTATTTTCATGAACGGACAAAGTATAAATATTAAAGAGTTTCTGGTTTTACTGTTTTAATTTATTGAATTATAATGGTGGGCAAACAAAAAGTCACTGACACCTGAATGAATCGCTGTTTTCATGAAGTCTTGAGAGAGTTGAAAAGTTGACATTGGGAGATAAGAAGACTTGTGGTGTCGCCTAGTGTTTGAAAATAGCAAGTGCTTCCTGCACAAACTTCATTTCTTACAAAACATTTTTCATAAGGCAAAAGGAAGAAAATGAAAGAAATAGTTAGCAGTTGTCTAAATATTTAATAATAAAATATATATATACACATAAATAAATAAAAACATATTAAAAATTATAAATCAAATCTTATGTTAAACTAATAAAGGATGTCAGACTGTTGTAGTGCATACTTCATAACGCAAGATGTCAGTCTTCAACAATACAAATACACGCAGAAAAGCAAGAAAATAAGATAAAGATGACATGTTTTGGTTGTCTTTTGAAAACTCAAGAGGAACATAGATGTTTTATTTAGCAGCTCATCCATTCTTGGCTATTTGGTAATGTTAACAAATGCGGCAGAAGAGGTCGCTAGACTTTACAGTCTATGTTTTTACCTCAGGGCTTAGAACTGAAATGGCAAATACATAATGTTAATTAAAACACAAATTTTACAATAGATATAGTTGGAAAATTGAATATAGTTCTTGTAAAGAATAAACATCTGTATCGACTAACTGTTTTTGTGTAAAATTGCACTTTTCCAAGTATGAAGCCCAATCAGATGCGTTATAGCAAAGCACGTGATTCCGCACGGAAGTAGCTGTGGAGTGTCTCATCTCGTTTGTTCCCTGATGTTCTTTGTTCTCCATCTAGAAACAACAGCAGCTTTTCAACATGGCGAATAACAGCACAGGCTAAAACGGGCTAGCGTCTCTCCCCCTCTCACCTTCTGTTAAACCCTGAAGAATAGTATGCAGCAGCCTTTGACAATATCCCAGAAAGAGTTTAAATAATGGAAACGCGGGGGATTGAGCAGATGTTCGACTTCCAGCGGTAACTTATTCACATTTAAAGCTTGAAATGTCTGACAACAGTTGCAGAGCTAACACAATTAGCCGTAGCATGTTCAACATCAAACCCTCAAAAACACAAAACGTATAAAGTCTGTTAGTGATCATTGAAGGATTTTCATATACATACATAAGGAAATAATTAATAAATACAAATAATTGCTGGTTATTGTTGCACTTACGTAATTTAATAAACTAAATTTGACATAAATGCTAATGAAACAGTATAAAAAGGGATTAATTTTAATTAGCAAGGACGCATTAAATTGATCAGATGTGACAGATATGTTTTGCAACATTAAAAACATTTACTATATTACTATTATAAATAAATGCTGTTTTTTGAACAGTACTATGACGGTTTATATGATATAACTATTGCACTATGTAAAAGTCTGATTGTGTTTACAGTTAATGAAACCTGCAAAATTATATTGTTTATATAAACACAATGAGTCTTATTATTTGCAATTATTTATGTAGATAATCTACATTTAAATAATGTATGATCGCGTAATGGCTGTTTTTTCTCCACCAATTCATGTTTCTTAGGTAATGAGTAGTAATCCTAATAAATTAGAGTAACTATAATATGACAGCAGAAACTAAGTGCACTAGTTAGTGAGCTGGTGGAAATCGGTCATTCAGTCTCCTGTGTACACTGCTCAGATCTCTGAAATGGAGACATGGATGTTGAACGGCTGTTCTCAGAAATAGATCCTGAAGCTGGTTTCTATTCCTGTCATCTGTTTTCACAGGTTACCAAATGATCGCTTCATCCTCCTGCTGTTGTTGCTGTACTCCCCTGTTGGCTTGTGCTTGATGCTTCTGCGAATATTTATTGGTGTTCATGTGTTTCTAGTGAGTTGTGCACTACCTGACAGTATTGTCAGAAGGTAAGACGCCACACTGGAGAGTTAATAGTTGTCAACATTTAGAAAGACTTTGATCAGAAATTAAATATGATTTAGAAAACATTGCATTTGTGGACTAGGTTTTATGTAGATAATTTATCTTACATCGTTACAGTGTTATATCAGTATTTATTTGCTATTATTATAGTATTTATCACTATTGTGAATTGACTTTTATTTTTTATAATTTCAGTTTTCACTCTAATTTTAGTTTAAGTTTTAGTAATTTTTCTAAATAGCTTTAATTATTTTTTATTAACAAACTTGTTTATTTCAAATCTTTTTCCAGAGCAATCTTTCTTAATGTTCTCTTCGTCATCTTTGTTTTTTCTTATCTATTTTTTTTTTTTTTATTATCTATTACCACAAATATTTTTATTTTATTTCCTGGTGCTGTTTTGGCCCTTTTACACATTTCCTAAAATCTTCATGAGTTCACATTTCGTCAAAATGCCATCATATGTACACACATATAGCGAGTGTATTTACCCCACAGTTTTGCAAAAAAAATGTTTTAAATATTTATAGGTGTGGTATTAAAAATGACTGAGGATGGACTAAATGTATTATTTTCTTTTTTTTGGTTCGTACTAAGAAACCAAGTGAACCAATCTGGAAGAGTGAACACACCCTAAGTTTGTATATTTGCAGTATTTATGCCAGTGTGTGTGAATTGGCATTTTTCTGTGTTGTTTCAGGTTCATAGTGAGAATAATGTGTTCAGTGCTGGGTCTGCATGTCCGGCAGAACAGCCCGCGCTTACGGGACAAAACCGCCCGACTTTACGTCTCCAATCACGTCACACATTTCGACCACAATATTATCAACCTCCTGACCTCCTGTAACACGGTGAGTGCTGTAAGTGTGTCTCTCAGCATGATGCAATCTCTTTCTCCTCTGCCCTTGACTTCTGTGTCTTTCATTGGTTAACTCACACAATGAGGTCTATTTCTTCTTTGGATGCTGTGCTGACTTAATGTTGGGCCAGACGCCAGTGAATGAGGTTTAACTCTCTCTGTTTGCTCACTTCACATGATTCACTTTGTTTGAATGCGGGGGGCAGGAGAAACTTACATTCAGTTTCAAACATTAGGTCATGCAGCTCTGCTTGATCTAACATTTCTGGATGAGTTGACCTAGGTTTAATGCATTATACTTTAACTTATTAATAATACATAATTGTACATTATAGTAAACAAAATTGAACATTAACAATTAGTGTATTGAATAATTAAATTATAATACATCTAAATATTATATACATATATAATATACAAATAACATTATATAATTAACACAACTTGCACAGTGTAAATAATCATATACTCATATAAAAATTTCAAAAATTACTGTGAATACATTTAAAATGTGACAAAAGATGTCTATTTCAAGTAAATGTTGAACTTTATATTCATCAAGGAATTCTGTTTCACAAAAAAAAACATTAAGCAGCACAATTTTGAGCATCAAATCAGCATATACGAATGATTTCTGAAGGATCATGTGACACTGAAGACTGGAGTAATGATGTTGAAAATTCAGCTTTGACCACAGAAATAAATTACATTTAAAACATATTTAAATAGGAAACAGTTGTACTAATATTCCACAATATTACCGTATTTTCAAATACATTTAGCCTTGGTGAGTAGAAGAGACTTCTTTCAAAAGCATTTAAAAAACTTTCGCGATCACAAATGTTTGAACGCATTGCTCAGTGTGCATTACACAATGTTACCTATTTGATTCAGCTTCAATAATAAAAGAATAAGACACTTTTTTAAATGCTATACATCCCCTTTTTATTATGCATCTAATCGGCTACATCTAACCATGTTTGCCTCTTTCTCTGTGTTTAGCCTCTGCTGGAGGGCCCCGTGGGGTTCCTGTGCTGGGCGAGGGGTTTTATGGAGCTGGGTCAGGGCGTCGGGAGCAGGACGGAGCTGACAGAGACCCTCCGCAGATATTGCTCATCTCCTAACGCTTTACCCCTCCTGCTCTTTCCAGAGGAGGACACCACCAACGGCCGGACCGGCCTCCTCAAGTTCAGGTTCAAAACATTATTACAAGTCAAATTCAAACTGAAAATCTTGGTGTTAATGAGTATAATATCTATTATAGTTGCATTTCAGTCAGTCAGCTGAGATTTGCTATATAGTAGATATTGCCCTATGCTAATAATGTATGAATGCAAATAAAATTGGACATGCTGACATATCCAACTTTATATAAATACCTGGGCGATAATATAGTTTACAGTTTAGGAAAATATTAACAATCAAGCAGTTGAGATTTGCTGTATATCACCCTATGTTCATGTGTTGTATGTATTCTGAAAAAGTTGGATATACTTACATAAACTTGATATAAAGAGCCAAGCGATCATATAGTTTGCATTATTTATATATATATATATATATATATATATAATGTGTTGCGGTTGATATTTGCTTTAAATTAAATATTGCTTTACAGTATACTGTATTTATGAAGATAATCTGTAGTGTGAAGTTGGATCGGATGCTATACATAATAAGGTCCCAATGTGTAGGTTGGAAGAATTATGTATCTATTTTTTCCCCATAAACTAATACTACAGTGTATAATAAAATAAACTATATACATGTCTATTTGACCTTTAGGTAGGACTGGGGAACTGTGGGAGCCCTACCTTTAGGATGACTTTAACAGTAATAATGCCTGAAAGAGATTTCCTCCATTTAGCATAAATACCTGTTTATGATTTATCTGACTTGGTTTTAAATGTGCCTATACTGTATGTAAACAGTCAGGTGTCTGATACAAGTAATGTTTGGTAAGTAAGGACGGCTTTAATGCTGAGACTTCGGTGATTAAATGTGGATCTGTTCTGGGAGGGTTGCCAGGTCCTCTCTAAGCTTCCTTGAAGGTTCCTCTAAGCTTGACTGATCCTCAGGTTTAGCCTTTACTGCCTGTTAATCAGCTGACACCCACCTTGCCATTAGCTTTTAGATGGTGTTTCCGTTTCTCTTTAAGAAAGATGTCATTTTTAAAAGCCCAACTTCTCTCTCCTCAGCTCTTGGCCTTTCTCTGTGTCTGACTCCGTCCAGCCTGTGGCATTGCTGGTGAAGAGGCCTTTCATAGCTTTGGTAATTGCATTTAAACCCCTTTTTATGATCCTCTCTTGTTGAATGATTTAACCCGGTTAAATTCACACAAAACATAAGTAATATTAGCCTCTCTTGCTCTGAATGTGTATGTAATGTAATCCTACCTATAGTTTTTATGTCAATGCTGCACTTATCATTTCTGTAAATCTAAATCACTTTGTTATGAAACCATCCACCCTGGCATTTAAATAAGATTGAATAGCTAATTGTCAATCGTTTCTAAAGTTCCCAGATCACTTTTATTTTTTCGTTCTCAAGTTCCAGTTATCGCACACAAGATAGTCTTTGTGTGAGCGTGGGTATTTATAGCGGCACTGATAATAAGTGATTCACAGTGCAATAGAAAGACGGACTGTCAAAGGTCGACCTCTTGCTCCCATTACAGCTTTGCAAAATGGTTTTATTATTTTGTTTTGGTGAACACTGGATATGATCCATTCCTTCAGCTGCTGTATTACATCAGGGTTTTTAATCTGTTTAGATGTCACCCAGATCTGATTCATTTCAATTTAAAAGGCAGCTAGATAGTATGTGTAAAGTATGGAAGCTTGTTTCAGCTACAGAATAAATAAATAAAGGTAATTGCAGCTTTTTTTTATCTCACAATTCAACCTTCTCGCAATTGTTTACATCTTAAAAAGTTAAAAAGTCAGAATTGTGACGTTTTCATGCAATTGACATTGTAACTCACAACTACACATTTATATCTCGCAATTCTAACTATTTTTTTCTCAGAATAAAAAAAAGAAAATTTTCTTTTTATTATGCTTTTCGCATTAAACTATTTATACAATCTAGGTTTATAATTGTAATATCTTATGTTTTCAATTTCTCAGGCTCTAAAAAGTATGCACGCTACTGTAGCTTTAAGTCTTATACATGTACTGTTACTGTTTTGCATGTGAAAACAGCTGGTGCAGTTCACACTACACTGTAAAAATTAATATGCTATATCAAAGCAATAAAATTGTGTTGATTGTGGAAAACATTATTAAGTTAAAACATAGCCAACACCATCAGATAACCTTTTCTATTTGTTCATCTGACTGTTATAACTGCGTTTTCGTTTAAAAACGGAGACCTTTTGCTACGTTTGCAGCTCCCGTCCACACTAAAACGGGAAAAACGAAGACCTAAAACGGAGAAGTTTAGAAACGCTGCAGCTGCGTTTTGCGTTTTGAATCTCCGGAGGGCGTTTTAGTGTGGACGAGACAAAACGGAGGAGTTTACAAACGATGACGCAGAGGCTCACGCTCGGCTCTATGATTGGGTGTTATCAGTCATGACGTATCTTTCCCTGATTCGCCAACCACTGTTTACACCGGCGCGCGCATGCCCAGTGTTGGTGAATGGTCACGTGATCCACGTTTTCAGTCGTTTTAGTGTGGATGGAGATAAATTCTAATACGCAGGTAAAACGCTAGTGTGGACGGAGATCGTTTTCGTTTTAATTCTCCGTTTTTAAACGAAAACGCAGTAGTGTGGACGGGGCCTAAGTGAGCCAAACAAAACATAAAGTATACGACTTAAGGGTCAAGAGCCCAACTAAAATAAACATTGATCACCATAATGGTGAGTTAAAATGATGGTTTTCTCCTTCAGTCATTCTGCTTGTTAACATCAGGTGTCTTCAATATTGGCAATATAAGATAAAGATCTGTTATTCAGATATTTTTGTTTATTTTTTTGAGGAAATTTTTACTCATTTTAAATGGTTAACTTTTAAGCAATTAATTAATTATTACTCAGTTCTAATTAGTTAAATTTAATTAATAATATTGCTTGTAATCTGTTATCACAATTTTATTGATTGGATATAGTGTATTCATTTTTAAAGTGCATAGCATTCATCAGGACAGGGCGAGTTGCTGAATGCCGGATAGGTGTTTTATATATGGGCCAAATGTGGGACGGTCATGTTAATGATGGGAATTCCATGACGTTTTTTTTAATGACCTGTTTTTGTAGCTCTAAAAATAGCCTTGGTCAACTGGGAAGGCAGAATTGCGTTGTGCATATGAAGTATGTCTAGATAATAAGCATCAAGCCATCGACATGCACATAACTGAGTTCTGTTAAACACTAGCGTCTTGGATGATATAAATGTTCTTTCTCTGTTTCTTTTCAGAACACGCCAGAATCCTCATGGCTGAAGGAGCTGCTGTGGACCTTTTTCGTACCGTTCACAGTGTACCATGTAAGGTACTACATATTACAGTCTCTCCTTTGTCCAGTGGCAGTATTTTAAACATACAATCCTGTTTTGCTTTTTGGCAGGCCAGAACTGGTAATACAATAATGAAGCTTTTCAGTATTTAATAGCCTCAGCAGTCTTACGAATGAAGCTTATAAGACCAACAGTTTCAGGTTTAGTCCTGAATTTGTTGTGCATACTTGCCTGTTGCTTAATATTGTACTTTTATTACTGTCACTTTTAAATATTTGAATATATTTTAGTTGTATAAAATGTTGACATTTTGACGTAGACGCTAATTTTTAATGTAATTATTGAGTGAGTAAAGGAAGAATCAGAAGCATCATGACTTTCTGAATTTATAAACTTTCTTTCTCACTCTTGTTAAGAGTCTCTGTGCAAAAATGTAAGGTGTGATTGTTTTAAAATGCTCTCAACCAGATGGCTTCCACCATTGTCTAAAGAAGATGGTGAATCTCATATCGAATTTGCCAGCAAAGTCCAAGAGGTAAAACTTTTTCCCTATTTTTTTTTTTTTGTGTTGAATTCTGTGTACTATTTTATCCAATAGACATTGCATGTTTGCCCTTTGCTTTTTATAAATTTCCGCACTTTCTGAAAAATATGTTTGTGTGTACAGTGATTGTAGTCATTGCCAATTGTAGCCTGATTAATGTGTATACATGCTGGACAAACCCGAGCTACCATCATATTATCTACACTATCTTATTCTTAACGGTTTCCAACGGTTTCCTGTTATCAACATTGATAATAAGAAATGTTTCTAGAGCAGAAATTCAAGATATTAGGATCATTTCTGAAGATGACACTGAAGCTAAAAATTCAGCTTTGCATTACAGACGTACATTTTTACATTTAAAATCTTAAAAGGTTATTTTTTTAGGGCTGTCAAACGATTAATCGCATCCAAAATAAAAGTTTGTGTTTACATAATTTATGTGGGTGCACTGTGTATAATTATTTTATACACATAAATACACACACATACTTGTATATATTTAAGAAATATTTTCATGTATATATATAGATTTATATATAATTTATAATATATATAAATATTTTATATATTAATATTTTTTTTCTTAAATATACATGCATGTGTGTGTATTTATATATATATATATATATTAGGCTTGCCGCGATAGACGGTGTTGACGGTGTTACCGGTTTTAAGCCCCATCACCGGTGACATCACTTTCCCACCGTGACACCGCGATGTCTTGACTTTTTTTTTTTTTTTTTAAAGTATTCGTTTTTGCTAAAATATTTATTTGAATTAATTAAAAATAATAATTTTCAATTATTTAGTTCTGAAGAGAGCATTATAATTAAAAATGAACTGCGCAACGCGTGCCGTCACGTCACAGATCAGCAAGCATCAGGATTCCATTTAGCACGTGTGGAGACGAGAACGAGTCAAATTACAGAAAAGCAAGATAATGGCGGAAGATTTGGTGTCAAAACGCAATGCAAAAGCGCCTGTTTGGCAATATTTTGGCCAATATATATGAATGTTAATAAATGCCAATTTATAGTGTTTTACTTTTTTTAGAGTGCTGTCATTTTATGTAGGCTAAGGTCCTTTTTAAAGTTATTTATATATTCGTCTCTTTTTATTTGGTTTTATCTTATTTAAACTTTGTTTAATTTATTTAGGCCTATTTTGTTTTCTTATTCGTTAATAAACGTTTTATTTTTTTTTGGCCCACAGTTTGCCGATTTTCACTTTTTTCAGCCTATGCATGGGGTTATTTTTATTCGTTCGTTATGCTAATAAAAGTTCTGTCTATATTTTATTCGTTTATTATTCTAATAAAAGTGCTGTCTAAATAAAAGTTTATTGTCAGCGAGTTTTTTTTTTTTTTTTTTTTTTTTTTTTTTTTTTTTTGTCCATTCCAGCAATTGACGCTGAATTGCAATTGACGGCTTATTTCGAAAGTAAAAGTATGTCATTTATGTAGGCTAAGGTCCGTTTTGAAGTTTTTATTTTATATTCGTCTCTTTTTAATTCGTTTTTATCTCATTTACACTTTGTGTAATTTATTTAGGCCTATTTTATTTCTTATTCGTTAATAAACGTTTTATGGTTCTTATTTGTTTGGGCCCACATTTTGCCGATTTTCACTTTTTTCAGCCTATGCATGGGGTTATTTTTATTTGTTCGTTTGCTATAAAAGTCTATAAATAAAAGTTTTATTATCAGCGAGTTGTTTTTTTTGTCCATTCAAGCAATTGACGCTTATTTCGAAAGTGAAAGTATAACGCGCACGCATTTAAAAGCTATTTAACCCCCCCGCCCTGCCCTCCACGGTGACACCGGGATTACCGGTGTTGTCACACGTCGATTAACCGGTGGGAAATTTTCCTCACCGCGGCAACCCTAATATATATATACAAAATAATTATACACAGTGCACCCACATATATTATATAAACACAAACTTTTATTTTGGATGCGATTAATCGCGATTAATCGTTTGACAGCCCTAGTTATTTTACATTGTAATTATATTTAACAATTACTGTGTTTTTGATTAAGTGAATGCAGCATTGTTGAGCAGCATAGAGACTCTTTCGGAAACATTTAAAAAACAATTGTATTGTTTGAATAATAGTGTTAGTCTGATTTCACAAAAACCGGACTGGTATGATTCAACTGGAGCATACAAAAAAAAAATGAATTAGTCCTACTAAAATAAAGTGCATGCAAATGAAAAGTTTGTAAGTCATGCTTTTTTAGTATTGAATGCTCTGTGAAATGCCTTGAAAGTGAAAAGATTTGAAACCATTTTCCGGTAATGTCATACTTGGTTGAATTACCATTAAAAACATGTTCAAACAAACTATTATCTTATTGTCCACTGACATGACTTTTCATCTGCCTAACCTTCAGATCTATTTCATGTCTGTTTCAAAGCTTCTACTTGTTTGATGTAATGTTCATTGTGTCCCTCCGTCAGCTGCTGGCCTCCAAGCTGGGCGTGATCTCCACACAGATCACTAAAGCAGACAAAGCCGAACACATCAAAAGGAAAAGACACACTGCCGCTCAGACCGCACATTCAAGTAAGAACGGATTCAATGGTGAGAAATGAAATAACGATGTATATATATATCATAACAAGTTAGATCACTGAATCAACATAGTAGATCGTATTTTGTCTCCTAGTGTAACATGAAACTGTTTTTTGTCAGATTTGGGTGCCAGACCTCGCACAGTGGCACAGGGTTTCCTGGGCACGAGTGCAGGGGCCGAAGACTCACGAGTAGCACGTATGGTGCAGCAGGTGAAAGAGGTGCTGCCTGACGTCCCATTATCGGTCATCACCAGAGACCTGTGTATGTCTTCCTCCCATAATGCTTTGCTGTATGCAATTAGTCACTAACATGAAATATTAATTCAGTCTAGCTTCATTAAAAGCAACTGTGCCATTATACTTTTTTGTGGCTCCCCTATATGCGCACTAATGCAAAGCTGATGTAAGCCATTCAGTTTCAGCAAGCATGAATTTTGTTAAAGGGATAGTTCACCAACAAATTAACATTTGCTTATGATTTACTTGCCCTCATGCCATTTAAGATGTAGGTGACTTTTATTCTTGAGTAGAGCAGTAAAGACATTTTTAGCTGAAACCGTGGTTCTTGGTGATTCGTATAATTCAAGTTAACTGCTTCTTAAGGCAAAACAAAATTGATACCCGTGGCTCCTGATGATACATTGAGGTCTTAAGAAGCTAAGCGATCTGTGTGTGCAAGAAACAACATTATTTCCTGTAATCCACAGCCTCGTAATGTGTTCAGGACCGTTTTCCGAGGCTGTGGATTACAGGTTATAATGTTGTAAATAATGTTTCTTGCACACACCAATCCTTTAGCTGCTTAATGGCATAGTTCACTTTGAAATTAATTTTTAGTTTGTTTTAGCTCACCTCAAGGGCATCCAAGATGTAGGTGTCTTTATTTCCGCAGTATTTTCAATTTTGATATTTTTAGGTCAAACCGTTCGTGTCTGTCAGTCATATAATGGAGGTCTATGGTCACCACCTCAAAGAGCATGCACAGAGAAGTTCAAATTAAACATGATTTAATGACTCGTAAATGTAAGTACACATTGATGGCCTAAGACACGAAACGAGCGTTTTGAGTGAGAAAAAGAACAGTATTTATATCGTTTTTACCTCTTGTAACCACAGCTACAAAGCGTCCGTGACCTCAGATCACTTGGATGTTTCTGTGGTTACAAGAGGTAAAAACGATATAAATACTGTTCGTTTTCTCACACAAAACGCTCTTTTCTTGTCTTAGGCCATCAATGTGTACTTACATTTACGAGTCATTAAATCATGTTTAATTTGGACTTCTCTGTGCATGCTCTTTGAGGTGGTGACCATAGACCTCCACTATATGACTGACAGACAAGAACGGTTTGACCCAAAAATATCCAAATTGAAACTACTGCGGAAACAAAGACACCTACATCTTGGATGCCCTTGAGGTAAGCTAAAACATACCAAAAATTAATTTTAAAGTGAACTATCCTTTCAAGACCCTTAATGTAACGTTATGAGCCGTGTATTAATTTTGTTTGGCCTGTATATGTTTTTTGACTCTCAATGTGACGGTAGCCATTGACTTGCATTAATATGAACCAACAAGGACCATGGTTTCAGCTAAAATTAAAATGACTGTTCTACTGAAGAAAAAAAAGGCACCTAAATCTTGGATAGCCTGAGGGTGAGTAAATTAACAGTTCTTTTTGTTTTTGGTGAACTATCCCTTTCTTTAATCTCTCTACAGTACAGACCAACTGTGTGGACACAACCATAACCAACCTGCTGGAGCATGCTGACCAGTTCAGCTCGGAGGCGTCTGCGAGCGCTCCTTCAGCTCCAGCCAAACCCGCAGCTTCCTCCACCCTGTCTACCATGGCATCCACACCCAATTTAAAGGTACCAGTGACTCTCACATCCCTCACTGAATAGATGCAGGTGCAAATGAACCAGTTTGTTAGCCAAAGTAGTGATGTTTGATTTTTGAATGAATCGTTCTTTTAATTGAGTAACCGGTCGAGCCGGTTCACAGAATTGAACTGAAGTACTGAATTGATGACACAAGACCTACATCCGAATTGTGCTTAGCTCTAAATGAGCCAATAAGCATGATGTTGAACTAAGGAATCGGTTCTAAATGAAAGTCAACCTCATATTACAACCACACATACTCATCTGCGTGCTTCTGACAGTCACGCAGTAAATTCGGTGTTTGAGAGGTAAAAGGCAACAGCTATAGCAATAGATAAGTACAAATAATGATAGATGCAATTTATACTTAGGGTAAATAACAACTAGATTCTAGATTTCTAGATTATAATTAATGACAAACACAACATTTGAGTGAAGAAGAGACTGTTTGATGACCTTTATAGTTCGAAATGTCCATTCAGTATTAACTCGATAGTACTGTCGGCAATACGAGGATGCATCCAATCATTGACGCTGACTCCAGAAATATGCAAATAAGAATGTTAACCCAGGTTTAGGAATGTACAGTGTGAAACGTTAGCTTATGAATATTGCAGTGCTGGCATGTGTGCTTTTGAATTAACCTTCAAATGGTCTTCGTTTGCTGTTTACACTTCTGGGCCTTGGGGTCTATACACGACCTCAACAATTGATTGAGTAATTGTACAAAAAATATACATTTTTAATCATACAAATAATACATCATTTTTTTCTTTTGTTTACTTCTCATCTATTCATTAATGCTGTGTTTTTGCAGATGTAAAGTACTTTTGTATCCATATACCACACAATTCCTCAACTACACCATTAGCTTGCATATGAAATATTATTTTTTTATGATACATTGCATTTATGCTCTAGTACTAGGCCTTAATTTCTGTGTAAAAACTTTATATTATTATTTATATTTATATGGAAATATATTTAGTTTTTTTTTTTTCACATTTCCCATTCATTTCAATGTGGGGTCATATTGACCCCGAAGACCAGAAGTGTAAAAACATTTTTTTTACATACCTTCAGAGCAACCGAATCAAGCCCAGTTTTGTGTGTGTATATAGATAATGTATGAAAAGTCCCAAAATCGTATTCCACTGAGATGAAGGGAACCTTTTGTTTATTAAGTAAAAGTCGATTGGCCCCATGACCCGATTGAGGGCTAAAATAGTCCCACATCATCACACACCCTTCACTAAACCTAGAGATTGGCATGGGGTACTTTCCATTAGATCATCATCTCAATGCAAATCAATACAGCTAGTAGGCTAACTGAAATAAAACCATGACAATCTCTTGGTATGGTGAAGGGTATGTGATGATGAGGGGCTCTTTTAATCTCAAAGGCCAAGGGAACTTTATCAGGATGCATATTATCCTGGATCCATGAAATAACTGACCTTTAAAAATAAAAATCTGCCTGCCTCTATGGGAATTTAACATAGGGGTGTCCTGTCGTATGCACCATGTATTTTAAGGAACAACATTTATTTGCTATACATTATTCATTCACAGTGAATATTGGTTTTCCTCATTTTTTTTTAATTAAGGCATTAAGATCTATTTCCAAAAGATGATTTTTTTATTCCCCTTTTTAGTCAACTTTAGCATGGGTGTGTTCACTTATGCTAAGCACTTTATATCGATAATATGAATTCATTTTTAACCCCGGGTAAATTATGAGCAGTGTGAAGCAAGATAACTCAGGATTCCTTTTACCCAGGGTTTAGAACGACCCAGGGTTAACTATTTCAAGTGTGAAAAGCCCTATTAATCTGTCTGGACAAGCTTATTGACTCATTTGGTGCTGCACAAAGAGCGTGTGTGTGTGCTACCTCAGATATGCGTCTTGCACCATCATCAACCCAGAACTAACGTTTCGATTCTGTGAAACCGACTCAACCAGTTACCGGCTTAAAAGAAGGATTTGTTAAATAATTGAACATCACTATTTTACATACCATTACCATTTTCAGTACACTGTATAAATCAAATTTGCAATATTCTTCAGTGTACCAAAGAACAAGCTCTTTGTTTTGAGTTTGAACTTATTTTGTACAAACTATACAATGGCCTTTTTCTTGCATGGCCTATTTTAGTGAATTTACCTATAAATAGCAACTTTGAAGCCTTTTGTCTTACAGGATATTTATATAATATGTCTATTTATTCAACAGCCAGGTGCCAAATCTTTCGGGAGATCACCCATAGACAGACACATGACCCTACAGGAGAGAAAAGAAGCCTTATATGAATATGCAAGAAGGTAATTGATTTATTAATCTTTCTAAATCTGTTGTTTGCCAGTGTCCACTAGGTTTTGTAAAAATGTATGGTAACAATATTACCATGATGATATTTGTGAATAGTTTTTTTAATAATATTTTTGAATAGTTAAGGCTTGATTTTTTTTTTTTTTTTTTTTTTCATGAAATCTACCTGAATAAATCATGTAAAATCCACTAAATTATGTTGTCTATGACACAATGAATTTAATATTTTTAGTGACATCTGCTTTTTATTTTAAGTTGACTCTCAAAATTGTGTGAATTCGAGTGAATGAAAATAACCAGTTTCTATTTGACTTTGAGTTATATTCAACTTACCGGCCAATTTGGTTAAAAAAAAATTTAAGTTACCGGCCATTCAGAACTTCTACTAGTCAAAAAAAGCCACTATGTCACAGCTTATATATATAAATATAATCTGATTCTTCACTTTCTGTTCACCCCACCCGCAGACGATACCTTGAAAAACATGGACTGAACAAAGAGGATGATCTATGACCTTGGACAAAGACACACCTGAGGAATTGTTTAGGAAAGGCCGCTGCTTAACACAAAATCCACATAGACAAAGAAGAAATTTATAGAGTTGACCCAGAATGAAACATTTGTGTTTACCAAACATACAGAGAGAAGACTGGATTTTTTCCTTTCTTGTTTTTGTTTCTTTGTAAATCTTCTTGCATGGCAATCATGCATGTCTTTTTATTATTTCTCTCTGCAACAGAAAACAATTATTTTGGTAAACAATTTGTATTGAAACCCATTGACCCTTGGCACACTTCATATTATTTTTTATAAGGTCCTTGGGTAAAGAATAATGGTTCAGAAACACATGGCAGTGAACTAAAACAACTCGAGGTTCATTATGAGGTTAAGGATACATGTTGATGCAATATCAGCTTTTAAAGACATTAAAGATCATATAGAAATGCAAAGACTATTGTGATTGTGTCTCTTGTACTTTATAGACTTGTATTTGTCTTATTTATGCATATTTTTGTGAATGAAACATCAAGTTATCAGGGATAGATGAATAATTATTGTCATAGATCTCAATGCGATTTTTTTTAAATGTACTCAGATTTTTCTTCATTTACACAAAATTAGGTTCAATAAGCTTTAAACCTATCAGAGTTTTTATTACTAGTATTATAATTAACGTTACTTTATTTCTACCTTGTAAATTAATTAGCACCTTGTAATGGCCATGGGTGACAAATGGAAGGGTTAAACTGTCTAAACTGCTTCTATTATGTTTTATTTGTGGTCTTTAAGCAAATAAGTTTGGAAAATATGCCTACTAATTTTTTTAATAATTTGTTTACATACGCGTTTTGAATGCCGAGAGCCGTTATAACCGCTCTTCTGGCCAATGGCCATTCAGCCTGCCTATAATGACGCACCCGTCTGGATAAACCAATCATAAAAATGAGCACACTAAAGGAGCCAATGAGAATGCTGGAGAGGGCGCACAGCAACCAATGAGAATGATGGAAATGTTGGTGATTTCTCCAGACTGAATAAGTAGGAGCACATCTCATTCTACGACCTCATTGCCGAGGAGTTTTGAGTTTGAATCTGTTTGTTTCAGTCATCTTTTGGGTTGTTAAGCAAACAAATACGCAATAATGAGGGAGATTGTGCATTTACAGGCTGGACAGTGCGGCAATCAGATTGGTGCCAAGGTAAGAACTCAACGAATATATTTATAATTTGTAATATATAGTAAATTAACGTTGCCAGTTGGGCTTTTGGGCAAAGCTAACGTTAATCTTCGCGGCTTTTAGGATCATTCATTGTTACGCTTAATCGGTCACGCTACTATTACATATTTAGTTTTTTCAGTTTGCAGACGTGTATTCTGTTTTATTATTATTATCATCATTATTGTTTAATCTTAACTTCTAAAAGCTATTTTAATTTAAATGTGGTTCAAGATTTATCTCAACACGCAACAAGTTCTTAAAAAATCGTTTTTTTAGTCCTCAGGTACGAATCGACGAAAAATGACTTATTATTTTTTCAAAAGGACGTTTAATGTATGAAATCCGCACGGTCTGAATTGACTAATGGTGAACAATGCGTTAGTTTTAGGGTGTTGGCCGCGCCTGACCGGCGTAATGGCCGATGCACAAGCGAGTTTGTTCGTTATGCTGATTTGGTAGAGCCGAATCTTTCGAGATTTTTCTCTTCCACTGAAGGTGTCAACCGAATGAAGGAGTCATGACGTAGGCGAATAGATTTGAACAGACCGTTCGAACGAGTCGATTCACTTAGAAGAATCACGTGTGGTAATGTGGCGGTTTGTATCTAGTTCACGGAAAAGTGCGGGAACGCTAATATCATGTTGCAAATACCCCCTGGCCCCATTCAAAGACCGGATCTGAATAATTTCCTCTTATTGTGCAATATCCAAAGTTAAAATTCGAGTCATTAGTGCCATGGTACTACGTTTCTGTTACTTTAAGCTCTCGGGTGGTGTAAAATGGCTCCGGTGACTTGGCAAACTCCATTTTACAAGTGTGGAGCCCATGTAACGGAAAGCCCTGGCTAGTCAATATTGGATTAGTCTTGTTTTGGTCTCTTCTATTTGCCTTTTATTAACAAATCCAATATCAATGCGTTTGGTCATGGTCTAAATAAGTATTCAGTCCAACTAAATTGACTGATAACAATAAATAGTTTATAACGGATCTTTTGAATCCATCTAATTTCAGTTTTGGGAAGTCATTAGCGACGAGCATGGAATTGACCCACAGGCAGTTACCATGGCGACAGTGACCTTCAGCTGGACCGAATTAACGTTTATTACAATGAAGCCTCAGGTGAGCAGAAATTAATCTCTTTTGTATTTTTACCTGACAAAGCTGTATTATGGTATTTTTGTCCTAAAAGTCTACTTTATTTATTTTTTTTATAGGTGGAAAGTATGTTCCACGTGCTGTTCTTGTGGATTTGGAGCCTGGTACTATGGACTCTGTGAGGTCTGGTCCATTTGGTCAGATCTTCAGACCAGACAACTTTGTTTTTGGTAAATAAAATAGTTTTACTACAAATATGCATCTGAGAACAATGGTTTAGTTGGGACATCTGATTTAGATAGTCCTGCACTTGCTCTGAACAAAATTTGAATGGCAAATTGTCACCTGATATGGATCTAGTTTCCTTTTGTGTTGAAGTAACTAAACTCTTTTTCATTTGTCACCTGATAGGCCAGAGTGGTGCTGGAAACAACTGGGCTAAGGGCCACTATACCGAAGGAGCTGAGCTGGTTGACTCAGTTTTGGATGTGGTTCGGAAAGAGGCGGAGAGCTGTGACTGTCTTCAGGGCTTCCAGCTGACTCACTCCTTGGGTGGAGGTACAGGGTCTGGTATGGGAACCCTCCTCATTAGCAAAATCCGCGAAGAGTACCCTGACCGCATCATGAACACCTTCAGTGTAGTCCCCTCTCCTAAAGTATCAGACACCGTGGTAGAGCCCTACAATGCCACACTTTCTGTCCATCAGCTGGTGGAAAACACAGACGAGACCTACTGCATCGACAACGAAGCCCTTTATGACATCTGCTTCCGTACTCTCAAACTCACAACTCCTACTTATGGTGACCTCAACCACCTAGTCTCTGCCACCATGAGCGGCGTCACTACCTGCTTGAGGTTCCCCGGTCAGTTGAACGCTGATCTCCGTAAACTGGCAGTGAACATGGTACCCTTCCCCCGTCTGCACTTCTTCATGCCAGGCTTTGCTCCACTGACCAGCCGAGGCAGCCAGCAGTACCGTGCCCTGACCGTTCCCGAACTCACCCAGCAGATGTTTGACGCCAAAAACATGATGGCCGCCTGCGACCCGCGTCACGGCCGCTATCTCACTGTGGCCGCCGTCTTCCGTGGCCGTATGTCCATGAAGGAGGTGGACGAGCAGATGCTCAACGTTCAGAACAAGAACAGCAGCTACTTCGTGGAATGGATCCCCAACAACGTTAAGACCGCCGTCTGCGACATTCCACCTCGTGGTCTCAAAATGGCCGCCACCTTCATCGGCAACAGCACTGCTATCCAGGAGCTTTTCAAGAGGATCTCCGAGCAGTTCACAGCCATGTTCAGGCGCAAGGCTTTCCTGCATTGGTACACGGGAGAGGGCATGGACGAGATGGAGTTCACTGAGGCGGAGAGCAACATGAACGACCTGGTGTCCGAGTACCAGCAGTACCAGGATGCCACCGCTGAGGAGGAAGGAGAGTTTGAGGAGGAGGGTGAAGAGGAGCTTGCTTAAGTTGAATTATGTTATTGTGTGGTCCATGTTCTTTTTTTTTTTTCCCTTTTTCTAAACTTGTCACCCGTTTATATTTTTTCTTACTGCATTATCCTGTCACTTACAACCTTCAGTTCTTCTTCATGTAAATGTCAATAAAACAAATGCAAGAACTTTACTGGTTTACTAGTGTTTTTCTGTCCTTTACGAGGCTTTGTCTTTCAAGTTTAAAAGGTGTTTAATTGATCTCTGAAATGGTCTGCTCTAACAACTTTGCAGTTTTTCTACATCCAAAACCTTAAATCTAGTGGTTACAAGTAGTTCAACTGAATGCCCGTTTAATATCCTGATTCACTTGTGACAACTCAAAAGTGGTTGTAGAAAACTGCTAGTGTTTTCGTGGTTCAGAATTCAGTCTAAATTCCTAGGCCATAGCCAATTTTTTTTTTTCCAGTTTAGATCTGAATGTGGGAAGAGCATATCATTCAAAATGGCAACAAGGTTTTTAAAGTGCAGATTTGAATATATTTTAAAAACACTGTTTCAGAAATATACAGATACATGGAGACAAATCCTGCATAAGTTCAGAATAAATGCACATTGAAGTTCTCAGTCAGAAATCAGTCTTTATAATTCCCTGATGCATGTTATAAACAAAACCGATGTATCACGTGAATGGCTGACGTCTGCTCGGAGAGGTTCAGCGTTCACACAAAAGGAAGTGTAGCGACTGTTCAACCGCTTATTCGCACTGACATAAGCCCAGACCACACTCAAAGCTCTGTTCTGTCTCAGGCCCTTGGCTACATGATCATTTCTGATGACCTAATATAAGATCAGCTCGACAACATGTGATTCGACCACAGTAACAATGGATTCAAACGAGAATAAATAGTAACGTTAAGTGATTAAAGTTTCCCTTTGTCCAGAGTCACGTGGCCATTGCAGGTCACTGGGTTTGTTCACAAAAAAAAAAAAAATTACGAGATCTTGTTGTTGAGCTGCCCAGGATAATGCTCAAATTCTTTCTCAGCCTCTTCACTGAATGAATCACCTGGAAACACAAATAATACAAATTACGTTTACATTTCAATATCTTTTTTTAAATATTTGAATAAGCAAGCATGCAACTGTATTCCCTTCAAATCACGTTTAATAGACTCAGACAGGTCTGAAGGGCCCAGTGCTCACCAAGATGACATTTATGCAACCAGACACGGTTGCCATCGTATTTGCAGTTGCATCGCATTGCGTTGTTGGTGAAGTCACTCTCAGCTACCTCAAAGTTGGGGTTTATAACGACCTGACAAAGAGAAAAATATAATGCTTGCGTAATTGTAATCAAGCTAACAGTATAATCAGCAAAGTGTGTACATAGTGACAGCAAGATCTTTAATAAGGCTGTATTCCGGGCTTTTTGTTAGTTAATCCTAATCCGGGAGGCTCTTTTCCGGTAAAATCCTTCCTCCACCCTTCCTCTGTGTAATTAAGCAATCATTAATCAAACCAAATCCTATTACTCTTCTAACCCTCGCATTCCCGGACGTCATGGTGAACTGCACGAGATCTGATAAACTCCACCACTAGAGGGCAGAACCGCAACAGCTCTTTGACAACTATTGACCTGCTAAAGGCGCCAGCAATGGGGTCCTACGGGACCAAAGTCTGCTCATGTAACTGCTCTCTGCTGTTAGTGTGCTATCTAGCTGATGGAAACACATTTTTAACAAACTACCAAGGTGGTTTCTCTTGCTTGCAAGTGAATAGGCTACCTGTAGTATGTAGTTTCCTGGTTTAACATCCGTGATGTCAATCCACTGGCAGTCGATATCATGTCTGTACAAGTCCCAGCAGCCCACTGTGATGCCCTGCTCACCGAAGTTAGCACATTCATAGTGCTTCGAAACACCTGCAACAAGGGTGGAGACGATATTCCAAGCCGGAGAACCCTTTAAAGGGATAGTTCACTTTGAAATTAATTTTTGATATGTTTTAGCTTGTCTCGAGGGAATCCAAGATGTAGGTGGCCTTTGTTTCTACAGTTTTTTCAATTTTTATATTTTTAGGTCAAACCGTTCTTGTCTGTCAGTCATATAATGGAGGTCTATGGTCACCACCTCAAAGAGCATGCACAGAGAAGTCCAAATTAAACATGATTTAATGACTCGTAAATGTAAGTACACACTGATGCCCTAAGACATGCAACGAGCGGTTGACCTTTGACCTCTGTCTTACCTTCATGGCACTCTGTGTCCTCCAGGCAGAAGCTTGCTTTATGTCCGTCTGCCACTTTGGTCCCGTTTAGAGTCAGCAGGTCGTAATAGGTGAAGATGTCCATACTATGATAGTGCCTGGAGATCATAAACACAGTCTTCTGAAGTTTAACCCTGCATCCAAAAACCATCATTCAAAAATAAAACACATCAAAGTGGTATGTGTTTTGGATTATGACTTCCTTTTATAAGTCTTTAATTGAATCAGGGTGTTCTTTTTGTATCACAGCTTGGTTTAGCAATAACAAATGTAGGTTGAATAATCTTGTTAAGGTGGCAGGAAAAGTCATAGGAATAAGTCAAATCAATCCTGTTGACAGTTATCATAGACAGGTTTTAAGTTAGACATGTTCTGTCAATCTGTTCTTGTCTGTCAGTCATATAATACAGGTCTATGGTCACCACCTCAAAGAGCATGCACAGAGAAGTTCAAATTAAACATGATTTAATGACTCATAAATGTAAGTACAAATTGATGGCCTAAGACACGAAATGAGCGGTTTGTGTGAGAAAACAAACAGTATTTATGTAGTTTTTACCTTTTGTAACAACAGCCACAAAGCACCCACGCCCTCAGATCACTTGGATGTTTCTGTGGTTACAAGAGGTAAAAACAATATAAATGCTGTTTGTTTTCTCGCACAAAGCGCTCGTTTCGTGTCTTAGGCCATCAATGTGTACTTACATTTACGAGTCATGAAATCATGTTTAATTTGGACTTCTCTGTGCATGCTCTTTGAGGTGGTGACCATAGACCTCCATTATATGACTGACAGACAAGAACGGTTTGACCTAAAAATATCAAAATTGAAAATACTGTGGAAACAAAGACACCTAGTGGCCCTTGAGGTAAGCTAAAACATATCAAAAATTAATAGACTTTTATGAACTTTTCATAGGTCGATTGCTTTGATATGAACTATGATTTGTGCAATGTGTATAATATATTGTTTGTGTATTATGTATTATCTGTATATGTCTGTCACCATCTGCTGCAAAAATAGTTTCCTAAGGCAGACAATAAAAGTATAAACAAACAAACCATAATGGAATTTAAGCCATCCCGAATCCATACTTCACTGCAACCTACAAATCTGTCATTTTCATGGAAAAAAGCAAAGATTTAACAGGCCTTGGAGAGCAGATTCAGTGCTGTAGGCCTGTTGGAGAGAAGTGAAGTCGCAGTGTCTCAGACACACTGGCTCCAGTCCCAATCCTGGCTGCGTGTGTCCTCTCAGCAAGAGCACACAACAGGTTTCCTCATCATCAATGTGTCAGTCAGACACACATTGGGAAACCTGATGTCTGCTAGGCTTGCAGTGTAAACACAGGCCACCTCTAAGAGTTAATGGAGATTATTTAAAGCTGCTCTTATTCATTAATCATCGGAAAAAATGCATGGCTTTGCAGTGATCTACAGCATTTGAAAGGCTACTTTAAAGGGATAGTCAACACAAAAATAACATTTCTGTAATGTTTTTTCTTCTTATTTGGTAAATTTTTGCAGAAGTAGATCTTGAGCAATTCAAATCAAACCAAATCAGTGAACTTATAATTTTTGAGCCAGTTTTTTTGTTTACTAAACTGGTTCGTTTGGTTAAAAAAACAATTAAACCCACTTAAGTGTAAATATTGTGAAAGTGTTTATTTACTAAATGTCTCATTTTGATTTTATAGAACAAAATCAAGGAGAGTAAATAGTGACAGTTTTCATTTTGGGGTGAACTATACTTTAAGGATGACACAGTGCTGGTTTTATTAGAACAATAAAAGTGTTAGTATAAATGTATATCTGTAAGTAAGTAGCAGTTACAGGGTCATTTAGAAACCTGTTCCAAATGTTGGAGAGCCATATGACAGACCACTATTCTACAGGCCACCAATAGCATATGGAGCAAGCATTTTGACCATGTTTTATTAAATTTAGCCAGTAGGTGGCACATACAGCACCGGAAGAAAATATTATTTAATATTATAATGTTTATTTTATGCAAATATTGTAACTGGTTTGTCACAGGGCTATTTGGTCCCCAATGCTTCTCAATAAGAGTCAATATTTTACTCATTTTTAAAATACAGTTTTAAGACTTCAATTCATAGGGCCCTATTTTAACGTTCTGAAACGCAAGTATCAAACGCGAAGCTCAAGTAACTTTGCGGGCGGGTCTTGGGCGCTGTTGTTATTTTAACGGCGGGATAAATGACTCTTGTGCCCGTTGCACGTTTAAAAGGGGTTAGTCTAAAATAGCTTAATTATTCACATAGATACACTAGATGTCGGCTTTGCTACGGCATACATTAGAACGAATGCGCCATTAGAGCCGCCATCTTGGAACAGGGGAGCCCCTCCACTTTAATGCATCAGAGATAATGTAAACAAAGGTCTAACGGAAATAAAAGAATCATGAATGCGATTTTCTTGTTTTGTGGTTCGTTCCAATGGTCAGACATGTATTTATCATTGATTCCAGGAAAAAAAAAATCTTCCTAGTTCAGATTTCATTCGTGTGAACATCATACACAGGACAAAAGTCCGCCACCATCAATTAATTTGAAGTAAAGCAGCGTTACCAAGCTACTTCTTATGACAACACACCTGTTCCAAGATGGCGGCAGTTTTGACGGATACTTAGAACCCCAAGGTGACGTCTAGTGTATATATCTATGCGTTACTCATAGGTGTGGTTTGGGCATAATGTGAAATAAACCAATCAGAGCGTCAGCCGGTGCGCACGTTGCATGGCAGATTGTTATTATTATGGCGGATTTACCAGGAGCGGTTCACACATAGACGGTAAAAGAAAGAGTTCACAGCCGAGGAGACCGACGTTCTTGTCAGGGCAGTGAAAGACAAGTGACGTTGTAAGGGGACGGGAGAACCCACCCAAATCAGCGTCGGAAACAGGTCTGACCCGTCATTTCTACAATTAGCCTGAAAACTTTGGGTAAATTTGCAAGCTAGTGCAAAATAGGAATGATACATGCGTCAGTGTATTTGCGCCGGGTGCAAGATAGGGCCCATAGACTTCAACACAGAAAGCACATCACTTTTATGGATGCAATAGTTATTTAAACATGAAGGAGGAAAACATTTTACCCATGCAGTTGTAATCCAAAATGTTAATATTTAAGCACTTATCCCATGCACTACTACACTTCAGCTCAGTGTAGAAGGTTATAGCATGACGAACAGAAACCACTGTGACTGATATAACCAGCACTGGATCATGTCGGCACACGTGTTCATTTAAAGTAGCGACTGCCAGCTTGAACTTCCATTCACCCTGTAGGGTGTCCAGGGTCTGAAAGCCTCTGCTCTGGTTTGTAGGACGAAATTTATATCAGTTTATGGCCTTAATGTTGTTCAGCCGACATGACCACTAGCGCTCTCAGTGTTAGTAAAGCCATATGGGTCCTTGGGGCTGCAGCTGGATCAGGTTGGAGCAAAAGAAGATTCAGCAAAGCTGCCAGACGCTTAAAAGAAAAACACAGTTGATAGATCTCTGTTCAAACCAAGCAAGCAATATTCAACCAATATTCTCAGTGAATAAAACACACGAACGCTTGGCCATTGCATTGCAACATAAGTTTACTTATCATGTATTCTTGCATTACTGCAAAACCTCAGTACTCAAGGGGGTGCCGTCTCAGGCATTTAACTGGATATTGACAATTTAACTAAGTTGGACTTGATTGGCAAGAGTGTCTTCAAGCTGTTGTCATGATAGTAATCGACCGGAAAGACTTAACTGACTGTAGAAGAAGACAGTTTTTTTCAAGCTATAGTTATTTAACTAATATTGTTGAGTGTTACTATAGGCCAAAACCCAGAAACGAGTTTGCAATTTAGCACTTCCGATTCCATCTTCCTGAAGTCAATGCGGGCGTTTAAATAGGTTTTTGTTTAAAAGCCTGTGAAATACTTTCACAGCCTTATTGTGTTAATTGCACTTTTGCAAACTATTCTAACTCAAACTTTCAGGGAAATTGTTTTTGACAAAAATGCATCGCTGCAGCGCTCTATTTTGTGATGAAATTGAGCTTGCATAGCTATAAGCATTTGCATACTTGCGTAGCGTATGATTTTGGGTCTTAAACACATACTCCACCTTAGGGGCCTAGCCTGACGTCGTCGTACTCAGTTTTTAGTCAGAATGTGAGTCTGCTCCATTGGGCTGTGATTATGGGGCGTGTTTCAACCAAACCAGGGGGAAAAAAAGCCCTTCCAGTCATCCACCATGGGACCTTTTTTCGGAAAAATATTGTAGGGCTGTCAAATGATTACTCGCATCTGAAATAAAGTTTTGAGTTTACATAATATATATGGGTTGATCGTGTATAATTATTTTGTGTATATATATATATATATATACATATACACACGCATGCATGAATATTTAAGAAAAAAATAGTATTTATATAAAAAATATTTATATTTATATATCTATATATACATGAAAATATTTCTTAAATTTATACAAGCGTGCGTGTATTTATATATATAAAATAATTATACACAGTGCACCCACATATATTATGTAAACACAAACTTTTATTTTGGATGTGATTAATCGCGATTAATCGTTTGACAGTCCTAAAATATTGTATGGTTGTCAGTGGCGAGAGAGAACAAATATTTTGCTCTCGTTTGAATTGTGCCCTGAATTACACGTATGATGTTTCTCAATTTAAAAGATACATTTTAAAGTCAAGAAAGTCGCAGTTTGCTGTAAAAAAGACTGTGAAAATACGTAATTACAAAGACTACAAACCCAAAAGGTGCACATTTTCTCTGAATGAAGAATGAAGCTAACTTTACTAAAGCTAAACTCTGTCATTTTTCTTTAGTCTTACGTTATAATCGTAACGTTACGCCGTCATACCTGAGTGTTTTGTTCATTGAGCGATTTTCACATAAAACTAAATGTTACTCTTCTGTTTTACGACAAACTGTGACTTTCTTGACTTTCATAATTATCTTTTAAATTGACAAACATCTTACGTGTTATTCAGGGCACAGTTCAGACGGAATAAAAAGATAAGTTGTCTCTTGCCATTGACTACCATACATGTTTTTTACCAAAATAAGGTCCCATGAGCCAGAAGCAGAGGGGAGGGACTAAGGACCTCTATTGGATAGACCGAATCCCGTAAGGAAGGACGGCAAAAACATCTTTACGGTCGACAAATGCCTTGATCGCGGTTCTCTGTTCCTCTTTTAAAATGAATGTGCTGTAAAGATCTTCTATAACAGCAGGCAACCATTCTTTGTTGTAAACGAATTTAACCCAAGAGCTCTTTGGTGATGTGGATGATTACATTACTGTTGATCATCTGTCCATCATCGTATAAAGCCCGCCATGACAATTTGATTGGTCCAAACAGCTTTGGTTCGGGCATACTTGCTTCACAACGGATCTAAACTTCCCATCCTCAAATGTTGTGGGCGGGGCTAATATCAGCTGGCATCCAGGCTACTGCGGGCCAGGTACGAAATTTGAAATTACCTATGGCATTCATGCCACACCCATGAGTGGCGGCCGAGCCGTGGTCTGAAGTCGGCCTTGCCGATGTTGTGTATCTGGGAGGAGAAGCGAAGCAGGCGACGGTGGCCGTATGGCCAGTTGGCTTGAGCAGCTGATTTGGCGAGGCAGTTTTCCTCTGCTGCACAATACAGCAAGTGCAAGGGTCGGTCCTCGATGTAAACACTCTGCTCCACCAATGGAGCGTTCAGCACCAGGTCCGAAGCCGCTAGGGATCGTGGGAGAAAGTGAACAAAAATATGATGGAATAACTTAAACGCATGCGAACAAACTTTTCTTTACAGACTTGCATTTCACTCACTGTCTGAGCAAATGACGCCAGCGGAGAACTGCGCTCCCGCTCTTTTGCAGCTGATGACAGGATGATGCTGACAGTCGGTCAGAGTCATCTCATCACCCTTACACTTCACCCCGCTCAGAACCATCTCCGTCACGTTACTGCTGTCCCAGTACCACGTTTCCTTAACACGTGGGAGAGCTCGTCAGTCGATGAATGAATATGGCAAATGACTGAACATGGATAAAACAAGAAACACAATACAAAGCACAAACATAATAGCCATTGGTTGAGTTTTGGTGTTGGTGTTTGCTGGTTGCCTTATTTTGAGTCACAATGTTTCCACTTTCAGTCTATTAATACATTTATCATTGCAAAAAATTATATTCTATTAGTAACCCGATCTGGGGCGCGTTTCCCATACAACGACGTAGTTCACTGTTTCACTACCATAGTACGATGCATCGTTGGAAAAATCAACTAGCTAGTCGTGACTGTTTCCTGAAACCCACTGTCGCAAAGTATCGTTCAACCACGTTGGTTTCGCACGTGGTGGAGTATTAACTACTTTTAATGAAACTGTTTGAGATCCAATTAACACTAGATTTGTTTTATATAAATTACAGACATGTCATCTGAGGACTATTTCTAATTGTTCTCAGTTATTTTGCTTTATTACCAGACTCAATATTTGGCTCGTTCTTACATAGTAGAGCACGTTCGCACATGCGCACTCTTCAAACACGTTAGTTCAAATCTTTTGAAAAACTAAAAGACGTAAATTACATTTGTATGTATTCTAAATAAAAGGCACCGGTTGTACTGAATGTCAGCTTATTTTGCTCAAGATAAGGATTTATTACCTCCAAATGTCATGCAATATAGAAACGATGACTTTGCGATGCTGTTAGTGTATGGTTCGTTGGCATAGTTGGCTAACGATGCTTTCGGGAAACGCACCCCTGGACTATTTTAAAGAAAATACTGACCCCAGACTTGACGGTAGTGCATACTTCACACATGAATAGCTCACATGTCATGTTAATATGGGATATCAAACCAATCAAGCTGCCATGCTTGATCAGCCAGTCCCATAGCGCCTCTCTTACTCACAGTGATAGCATGCAGGCAGTATCTGAGGCCTAACTGTCTGCACGCCACCATGGCTTCTCTTGTGGTCCATTTGTCACTGCATATAGTTCCCCACCTGGACTTGACCTGAACCTCCACGCGACCCTCGTGATCCGTCCTGCCCCCCCACCATACGGATCTGCAGACAGACCCCCACTGCAAGGGCTTAGCATGCAAACTAGGCTAAATAAAGCAAAGAAGCTAACATGCTATGCTAATGCTTGAATTACAAAGTTCTATATCTGCTAGTAATGATTTGATTTAGTGGATTATTGTGATCAGGCCCAGAGGCAAAAGAGCGTGGTGCGTTTTACTACATAAGTTCATGTATTGCGTTAAGAGGTGTTAGCATGCTCTGTTCACGCTGTCTTGAAAATGTATTGTTATGGTAATCAGTTGAAACCTCTTGAAAATACAATTACACTGCAAAGAAATATATTTTTCTGAGATTTATTTATTTCTATATATTTTTGCAGTGAATTTCAGGGGAGGCGAACCCATTTGGCATAATGAGTGGCCATGTTTATGTGTGACACCCCAGATTTTCCTACGTAATATCGACACAGAAAATGTGGGAAAAGTGCAAAGTTGTCTGGGTTTACTTATTTTTTAATTCACTACAGGTGTAAAACTTTGCAAAAACATACCGAAATACCGTCCTTCCAAAAAATATCAGATTTCGATGAGACCTGTACTGAGCCCCCAATGGGACAGGGTGATGAAAAATAATGCTAATGCATTTCCTAGCAAAACTGCGTTCACTCACCAAACATTTGTGTCCTTTGCCAGCAAATGCAAAGTTTCTCTGTTAACGCAAAACAGTTTGCGAGTAAACGCAGTTTCTTGGAGGAACGCAAAACAGTTTACGACGAGTAAACGCAGTTTCTTGGAGGAACGCAAAACAGTTTACGACGAGTAAACGCAGTTTCTTGGAGGAACGCAAAACAATTATTTACTCCATATTATTATGCACCGCCATTTCAGTAACTGCAATTGCATTAGTTTTTTTTCATACTACTGATTTTTTGCAGGTTATTCAAGTTTTCTTGTACAGGTAAACACACCGTGAATCTGTGAATCCCCACGCCAAATATGGAAATACGAATTGGCGTGTCATACACATGCTACTTCATGTGATCAGTCTGTAATCCCCTAACCTCCATGCTATATTCACTTAAACTGCTGTGTTGTATGTTATACAGTGGTTATCTTACTCTCAGGCCATTGCTGGCATGTCCCAACCCCAGCTGTCTGCACACTACCATGGCCTCCCGAGATGTCCATCCGTCCCCACAGATCAAACCCCAGTCCCTCATCTCACTGCCTGTAGAGAGCAGCAGCTCCACCCTCCCCTCCAACCGCGTTCGACCCCCGGTCAAGCGGATCTGCCACAGGTTACAGAGCAAGCAGGAGAAAGAAGTAAAAGTTCAACTTGATAAGCAGTGCTGCTTTAGGGCTGTGAGAATGTGTTTTTACTGCACATCGCATCACCTATTTGAATAAAAGTGTGCTCATTTAAGTGATTTTACAGATTTTGGTGGTGCAATGCTTTAGTTTGGATCAGCCCTGAACAGCATTGTTAGTATTCATAGCTGAGCTAAGAAAAATTTCAACACAATACCAAACCCCATAAGCGTTAATCGTAAATGAAGACACTTTGATGAGGGCATCAAAGATTTTCTGTTTGAGGACAATTATGGTTATAATAAATGTTAAACGTTAGATAAAAGCAGATTTGAGACAGATTTTTTTCATAGTTTACTTGCTAGAAATAAAATAACAATAGAATCATCATGTATGTGTCGGACCGTTTTCTCGAAGCCCATGTAGGGAATGTTGCAGATGACGGAGGCGTCCTCCATGTGTTTGCAGTCTTCAGCAGTGATGCTCTTATGAGGACAGTCCCACAGGCTCTTCTCATCACCACGACACTCAACCTCATTCATGTAGATGGGACCCATGCCTGTGGAGAAGAGATCATAGCCTTTGAATGATCCATCCATCCATCCATCCATCCCTAAAGGATTATTAGGAACACCATACTAATACTGTGTTTGACCCCCCTTTGCCTTCAGAACTGCCTTAATTCTACGTGGCATTGATTCAACAAGGTGCTGAAAGCATTCTTTAGAAATGTTGGCCCATATTGATAGGATAGCATCTTGCAGTTGATTGAGATTTGTGGGATGCACATCCAGGGCACAAAGCTCCCGTTCCACCACATCCCAAAGATGCTCTATTGGGTTGAGATCTGGTGACTGTGGGGGCCATTTTAGTACAGTGAACTCTTTGTCATGTTCAAGAAACCAATTTGAAATGATTCAAGCTTTGTGACATGGTGCATTATCCTGCTGGAAGTAGCCATCAGAAGATGGGTACATGGTGGCCATAAAGGGATGGACATAGTCAGAAACAATGCTCAGGTAGGCCGTGGTATTTAAACAATGCTCAATTGGCAATAAGGGGCCTAAAGTGTGCCAAGAAAATTATTACACTATTACACCACCACCACCAGCCTGCACAGTGGCAACAAAGCATGATGGATCCATGTTCTCATTCTGTTTACGCCAAATTCTGACTCGACCATCTGAATGTCTCAACAGAAATCGAGACTCATCAGACCAGGCCACATTTTTCCAGTCTTCAACTGTCCAATTTTGGTGAGCTCTTGCAAATTGTAGCCTCTTTTTCCTATTTGTAGTGGAGATGAGTGGTACCCGGTGGGGTCTTCTGCTGTTGTAGCCCATCCGCCTCAAGGTTGTGTGTGTTGTGGCTTCACAAATGCTTTGCTGAATACCTCGGTTGTAACGAGTGGTTATTTCAGTCAAAGTTGCTCTTCTATCAGCTTGAATCAGTCGGCCCATTCTCCTCTGACCTCTCGCATCAACAAGGCATTTTCGCCCACAGGACTGCCGCATACTGGATGTTTTTCCCTTTTCACACCATTCTTTGTAAACCCTAGAAATGGTTGTGCGTGAAAATCCCAGTAACTGATCAGATTGTGAAATACTCAGACCGGCCCGTCTGGCACCAACAACCATGCCACGCTCAAAATAACTTAAATCACCTTTCTTTCCCATTCTGACATTCAGTTTGGAGTTCTGGAGATTGTCTTGACCATGACCACACCCTAAATGCATTGAAGCAACTGCCATATGATTAGTTGATTGGATAATTGCATCTAGTGTTGCCCACCTTGGCCCATTCGCGCTCCAGTCAGAGCCTCTTTAGCGGTGCCGAAGCCCAGTTCTCTACACACCACGCTGGCGGACTGCAGGTTCCAGCGGTCATCACACACTGTACCCCACTCGCTTCCTTTCAGGACCTCCACACGGCCCTCACCTGCCTTTGCACCGCCCTTCAGACGCACCTGAGCCTTGAGAATGAGAACGAGCATGATCAACGGAAGCCATAATACAGGTGTTCTTTTAATACTGTTGATATTACCTCCAGAAAACGTGATTTATGTAAAATCAGTCCATTGAAAATGAGTTACGTTAAAATGAATTAGCTTCATCTAATCACCATTGGATTGAGCTTGACTCGACGTGCTCTGGCCTGTGTGAACAGTGGCCCGGGCACACAGTTGACCACAGCAGCTCCTCCATCGGGACAGGGGGCGCTAGAGTTTGCTTTACTGAACTCCATCGTGCATGCTGAAAGATGAGCCTCATTTCCTGTGCAGACCACTGAGTGGATCTTGTACACACTCTGGTGACTAAACAGAAACGCAAATGATCAAATCACATACATTGTATCCCAAAACAATAGTAATAAATTCCAATAATATTCTGTCTGCTGAAAGAATAATTACTGCCGTAAGAGCAAAATAACAATTTATTATGTACCACATACACTAATAATACACCAGAAGATGTCTTTGAATTCTGAACCCGGTAGTGCTCAGACAAGTAAACCCGAATAGAAAGCATGACCGATTTCTTGCATTCTATCAGCTTGCTGAGAAATAGTGTCCAGTCTTGTGTGAGCAAATAGTGCATACTGATGTTGCTTTTCCACTGAAGGGCATTCAAATGTGTTTATATTGTGTACTATATTCCCTCAAAATATAATATATTATTACTTTCTCCTAACTTTGGGGTGAAATATGACCCAGACATGTTCTTGACAGCTTTCGAGAGATTCACCCGTCTAGCACGTGTAGCTCACACTGCAGTTTTGCTTTATGAAAGGCTAGATTTTTACAATGGTTCACCAGATTTATGACACGTCCCAGACTCTCACACAGGTGATGACATGACCAGGAGAGGTCTGCTATGGATGGAGTAATATAACTGTAGTGAGAGAGAAGTTACTTTTACTTACTTACGATCTCACGGCAATTCGAACGAATTTTACGACTTGGCCAATTCGTAACAATTCGTATGACCTCACTCATACGAATTAGTTTGAATTTTGCTAAATTGTACATATTTTACGAGTTGGTCAATTCGTATGGATTCGTACGAATGACCTACCCCTGACCCCGCCCCTAAACCTACCCATCACGTGGGTTTAGACAAATCGGACTAATTTGTACGAGTGAGGTCGTATGAATTAGTACGAATCAGCCACGTTTTAATCACTCGACCGAATTAGTACGAATTGCTCGTGAGATAGCCTTTGACTTTCTAGCACAAACTTATGTATGTAATTAAATGACAGAATAAAGAAATGAAGTAAAATAATAACTGGAGAATAATAAACATGTACAGGGGCCACAAAAAGCATTTGGATGCTTAAAAATGTCTGATTGTCATTGCATTAGATATCAAAATATAAAACCAAGTGTCTTATGGAATATGCAAACAATTAATTTAATCTGCAAACAAATGAAAAAGAATACATTTTTGCACAATGACTCTGACATTCAAACATTTTTAGGTGCGTCCAAATCAAAAAAATTTAAGTTATAAAAACAGGCCTTATTCAATTTCTGGGAAGCACAGACATTCATACAGACAGACATCTGAGAAGTGTAGGATATTGTAAATGTGCAGAGTGAGCTATTTCTAAAGTGTATCTAGCCAAGCACTTCTGGCATGACATTGATATCAATGTCATAATTACAAAGACGAAGAGAAGTACAGTAATTTACACATTTCCTTTCAGTAAATTATGTCAGAGCTCATGATCATTTAAGCAGTGGAAAGGATAAATGGCAGCTTTTTCATCCACCAAAGATTACTTGTGTTTAGTCAGCTTGTAGACTTTAATATCAAGCAACATTAAGTGTAAATTTAATGGCCTTCTGTCAAGAGAAGATATTTCATCAGTCAGTGGGAGAGTGTTTTTGGAGCTCCACTTCAGCATGCTGAGGACTTGAGCTCATGTCTAAGGAGGTCACTCGTTCAGTTTAACACACACACATAGAGTGCATTGGTTAAAATGATAGCCATATTCTCACAATGTACACGTGAATTCTCCTATGCTGGCTTGTTTTTCTGTGCAGTCACAGACTGCTTACATTTCACCATCTGCTGTGAATCAAAGTAAGTGTCTGTGTTCAGATGTGGATGACTGTTTCAACACAGATGGAGGAGAGAAGCCATACAGGCACAGCAAAACAACGAAATGAAATTGCATTGAACCTTCATTATGACAACATCAAAAACCTGCCGCCACAATCTGTTTTGTGTGGTTGCCAGGGTGTTGCTATGTGGTTTCTAAGGTGTTCAAAGTTTATTTAGCACTGGGTATTCTGCGGGGTTGCAATGGCGTTGTTTGCAGCAAGAACCTTTTTGATTAATAAATAGATTTAAGAGAATGAAGTAGTTTTGTTATGAATTTAAACCATTTTTAATATTTTTATTTTAAAATAGGCTTATCAATATAATTAAATTTGTGCATGTAACAAGGTACTAGAGGCAAGTTTGGAGAACCCAGATACAGTTTTATTGAACAAACTAAATAGAAACTATAAGCTTCACATTAACCTGGGCATGGAACGAATCTTTTTTTGAGTCATTTGGTTCATTCAATGAACAAAATTAACGAAATGACTCAAAAAAAGATTTGTTCATTTTGATGAACGAGTTCGAACCGGAGAGTCACGAACGTGGATCACAGAACAGAGCAAGGTGAGCATTTGAGCTTATAAAACTTAAACTTTTTTTATTGATTTTTAAAATGACCAATCGTTTCGCTAGATAAGACCCTTATTCATCGTCTGGTGTCGTTTAAAGCCCTTTGAAGCTGCAATAAAATGGTCATCTGGACCTTGAAACTACTGGAGCCCGCAATAAAGCGAATTTCAAAAAAAGAAATAAAAAAGTGTAAGTTCTATAAGCTCAAATGGTCGCCTTGCTCTGTTCTGTGACGCACGTTTGTGACTCTCCTGTTCGAACTCGTTCATCAAAATGAACAAATCTTTTTTCGAGTCATTTGGTTCATTCAACGAACTGAAGAGCAGAATGAATCGAAAAAAGATTAGTTCATGTTCATCGTCTGGTGTCGTCTAAAGTCCTTTGAAGCTGCACTGAAACTCTCTTTTGGACCTTGAACCATTTGGTTCCCATTGAAGTCCATTATATGGAGAAAAATCCTGGAATGTTTTCATCAAAAACCTTCATTTCTTTTTCGACTGAAGAAAGACAGATATGGACATCTTTGATGACATGGGGGTGAGTAAATTATCAGCAAAAGTTTTTTTTTAAAGTGAACTAATCCTTTAATACTTAATAATATTTGAAAGAGAACTTAGTTTAAAACTCATAGGACATACTATCTGACATCCAGATTTATGTGTCTGATAAGTGCACTCAGAAAAGCATGTATCATAGACTGATAGGGCTTTAAAACACATGCAAATAATAAACTTTCATGATGAAGAACTGCAATGTCATGTGAGCGTGTCAACGATAGAGATGATAATCAAAACCAAAACATGTTTTAGTTCTTGGCAAAGTAACCATGCACAAGCTGTAAAGGCGGGGCTGAGAGCAGCAGCTCATTTGCATTTAAAGAGCCATACACAAAAACAGCATTTTTTCCCCCTTCCACTCAAAAATGATCTGTTGAACTGAAACTTCACAAACACAACCCTTTAAAAACTGAAGTGTCACGCTGGAAATAATTTTTGTCTTCTGTAAACATAAAGCCCATCTTCTTTGATTTAATTGCCCATTTAAATCATTTTGTATTTGTAACTTTTACAACTTTTTTTTGTCAAACTCAAACGGTGCAGGACCACATCAAATTACCATAACATTTACCAATCGCTATTATAATAAATCAGAATCAATCAGAGAGACAAATAACCCCGCAGCTCAGAAATTTCCATCAGGGCCTCACTGATTGTACATTTTTCACTGGCACAATGATAAAACTTCCTCATCCCTCACGAAGTTAAAAACACGTTGGCTGGAAGCCCAGTGGTAACATATGGGACTGATTTCATTTTGTAGGACTTTGTAAACATTCGTCATTACTTTATGTGACAATGCATAACCGCTGCATCCTCCATGACCTCAAGAAACACTGGGGTGTTTCTCTGCAGTTCATATATCCATCAAGATTCGTGTGTATGTGCTCACATTCGCTGCCAGGTTTCATAACAACATATCCTGACTTGCATAAGTGGATTCTTGCAAAAGTCTTTTTGGCCGCAGCAAGGGAAGTGTATGATGATCTATAATGATTCATTGGCCGAAGATCATGAAATAGAGACATTTTCCATCTTTTTAAAAGTGCCTGAACACGTGCAGTAACAGGTACATATTTAATGGTGTATATGAGCTCTTAATCTTAAGTATTTGAGGGAATAATGGAAACTATCTATGTGGCTTTGCAGTAAAAATGACAAGCAGATATCCAAATGCATTTGAAACTGACATTAAATCTTTTGAATGTCTAGATGCTCTGGCTGGAGCACGAATGCTAAAAATAGGTTTCAAATAACATGTACATAACAATAACTTTCCATAAGAATCCAAAATAGTCTAGATCACACAGACAAGTGATAATTTTAGAGGAAGGCTGCAAGCCACAAATTAGACAGTCAGCTTCGAGGAATTTGAAACCGACCATCTTGCTTTTAAAATGTTGTTTTGATCACAAAGTTCCTTCAACTGTTGTAAAATACATATTTATTTTGTTTACAGCTTTAAAATACCTGAAATTGCCTCAGAAACCATTGGACTACCACATTATACAACAAAATATATCTAGCAGTATAAATATGATAAAATATAAAAACTATGATATTTAATAGATAAAGAATAAGCACACTTTTCGATACAATATAGCCTAGTCTCTAAGTGATGAGAAAAATTATTCCTCAAAATGAAGATTATAAGGCAGCTGCAACGGATATCGCATACTTCCCTATATATACTACATTGCTAGTATAGGTGAAAAACAATATGTGACAAAAAAAGTGTCTGAATTCACAGTACTCATAAAAGAGTAGGCAAAAACAAGTAGGCTACCTGGATGACCTACTAGCCTACTTCTAATGAGATTCTGAGGTGTGCATACGATGGACACTTTACAATCCCATGAGGCCACGGGAGAGGATTTAGGATTGGAGGTGAACTGATGCTGGTAGGTCACATGATAATAACAGCATGTAGTATGTTTGGATCTTGTTTACATTCACACAATAAAGGGGTGGTATAATGCCCCTTTTTACAGGGGTTTTTGCTCAAAACACGTCGTTTCGTGTGTCTTCCTTTAAATGCAAATGAGCTGCTGCTCCCGGCACATTGGGCGGAGCTTCAAGTTGTGTTGTCTAGGTTGTGTATTAGCAGCTTAGCAGCTTTGATTTCCTCAGGCAAACAAACACTAAAATGTCAGAATCTGTTCTTAAACTGGAGTCGGACAATGATGGAGAGACTCGAACATTCCTACTATTACAGTTGCATTAAGCAGGATGGAAGGGAAGAGTATTATTAAACCTGCCTGCAACCGGAAATGGCAAAGAAAGTGGAATGAATGTAAAACAGGAAGACATTTTTATAATCTACATAATACTGTAAGACAAAGTATATTGACACAAAATTTAAAGAGAGAAGATCAGGTTATTTTAACAAGACTAAGGATGGGACATACAAAACTTAATTCAACACTTCATATTATAGGGAAACATGGTACTGGTTTATGCGAAATATGCCAAGTAAAGGAAACAGTTGAACATGTGTTGTTGTTTTGTTCCAGGTATGAAGTGAACTAAAGGAAATGCGATGCAAAGAATTTACAATCAATAACATATTGAACACAAAACAAGGATCCAGGGAAAAATTCATAAAGCATAGTGGTCTTAAGACTAGAATATAGTCATCTCATACTTCTAGACTGAAATCACTTCACACTCCAGCACAGGTGGTGGCGGTATGCACCATAAAGTTGGTATGCAACCCGCCAATAAATCCATAGAAGAAGAAGAAGAAGATGATGATGATGATGGAGAGGATGATGGAGAGACTCAAAAAAAGCAGTAACAACATGTAGAATACAACAGGACGTTTCTGAATGGTTAGTTGATGAATTTATGTTGCTGATGTGGAGTTACTAATTCGCTTTTTTAGCGGTTGAGCTAAAATTGCTTTAGAGGGTTTTCACCGACGTCAGATTCTGGGCGGTAACCGGGTAACCCGGATGAGCGGCCATTATGGAGGCACTCGGATGTAAACAACAGCATGGACTGCACTAATAATGTAAGTTACTACTAAACGTACACTAAAAAGACACAGAAAAAAACCCCGTGGTAGGTGTGAAATCATATAGAGAAGGACTTATCAAGCAGGAGAGAGCGCACTATTTTGAAAAACTAAAGTTAATAACGTTACGTGGTAAAGGTCCGAACGAGCTAACGTTAGCTTTTCTAACTTAGCCCGTACTGCAAATAGCATAAGAAACTACATTCATGAGACAGTTTTTGTAAGATTTCATTGGTGATTTCTAATTTGAAATTTCATTGTAATCTTGGTATGGTAGCTGTGGAGAATTTCATATATTATATATTTTCTATGCTAATTAAGTGGTGTTGTAAGTGCAGCTTGTGTCCAAATGCATTGTGGTATGACACGGCGTTTTAATTTTTATTCATTTCCAGGATATGAATTCTTGATATCAACAATTGTATTTTCTTCACTAGTGAAATATCATCATAGGCTGCCATTCAAAACCAATTGTTGATATCAAGAATTTATTTCTTACTAGTTGAAATTCCAATTTCAAATATCAGAAATACAATTATTACTAGTAAAAACCTTTATTTTTGATATCAAGAGTTCAATTGTTACTAATTGAAATATATATTCTTGATATCCACAATTTAATTGCTACTAGTAACAATGATCATTTTTTTATATCAATAATTACAATTTTACTAGTGACAGTGTTAATTTCTGATATCATGAATGTGATTGTTACTAGCAAGAAAGCCATTTTAGATATCTGAAATAATATTTATATCAGAAATACATTTTCAGATATCAAAAATTATAATTTTTACTAGTACCAGTTGAATGGTTGATATCAAGAATAGACATTTCAACTAGTGACAATTTAATTATTGATATCAGGAATTAACATTTTTACTAGTAACAATGTAATTATTGATATCAAAAATAATATCTCTACTAGTAAAAAATCAATTCTTGAAATCAACAATTTATTTTGAATGGCAGCCTATGGTGAAATTTCACTAGTGAAAATACGATTAAAGATATCAGCAATTAAAGTGTTGATAACAAAAAAATTAATTGTTGATCTCAACAATTCAATTCTTGATATCAAGAAATCATATCCTGGAAATGATTAAAAGCTAAAACTTGCCATATTTGTGGCCACTATGTGTAAGACGTGTGTGTGTGTGAAATACCATCTCAAAATAATATTCAGGTAAGTTTGCCATTTGATAGACAATAGTTGTTTATTCACTAAAAGACTACATTTTGTACTTATCATATTGAGCACCTTGTGTTATGAATCGAATATTTGATAAATACTGTTTTTTTTTTTTTTTTGGACAACCATAATTAGTTTGATGATCCTTGTTTTCTTTAAACATGCCCATTACCTGCTTGGCTTCTTGGCCGTAGTTCTCTGGGAAGGGAATCCCATCATGCCACACACCACTCGAGAGTTCTTGGTGGTCCAGCCAGTGTTGCAGATGTGACCCCATCCGTCCTTAAACTTAACCTCTATCACTCCCTCTGTCACAGGCATACGGCCGGCATGGGCACCTGAGAGAGGACGCAGACGAATCTTCTCCATACGGTTTTTATCAACCTGCATCTAAAACAAATGCAACTCTACTTCAGGAGAGGTAAATGTGATATAGGGTATATACTGGTTTCAAAACCAGTGTTTTTTAAAGTATGTGCATGTCTGTGGTGAAGATGCGATGAAGTCCAGTACGTCTTTCTGATAGATATAAGCCTTATATTTGTTTAACTTGTCAGCCAAAATCTCCAAATTAAATTTCATGCAGAGTTTTTAGTAAACGAGTCCGTCTGTTTGGCTCATGCTGGACACGAGTCATCTCACATGAGGGTTTTGGATCACTGGTAAGCAGCCAAACCACACCTTCATTGGCTAGAACACAAACTCTCTCCACCATTTACACAAGCACTTCCAAATGTCTGGCCAGAACAGTCCACAAAGTCTGCTGAGCACCTTGCCATGAGACAATCAACTGAAATCTGAATTTGGAGCTTAAAGACACGGCAAAGTCGCAGCAAACCACATCTATACCAGTTGGCTTTCTCGTGCAATGCATTGTGGAAGTTTTGGCCAAAATTTCAGTCCCCATTAGGAAAAGAGTTCATAAATCATACTTACTGTAAACATTATATTTTAAGGGTTAGGTTTAGAGTTAGGGGATACAATGTAATGTTTGTACTGTATAAAAATCATTATTTCTATGCATAAAACTCAAAAACCCAATGTTTGTAGTTATGTCATAAGTCTACACTATATTAGATAACTGACATTTCAAAACAGCAGAAAATCAAACAAATCACATTCAGTCTCAAACAAGCTTGCATTTCTATGAAACAAATAGTGAGCAGATTATAATTACGTTGGGAAGTTGTTTGTTCTTTGGGAAGAACATTCTTCTTGTCAATTGGTGTGTTTTGGAAAACATTTGTAGATTTGGATGTGAAATCAGTCATTTGCAACATTCCAGTAAACTCCGACACATCTGATTGTGTGTAGTGAAGGACAAACAGCAGAGGTTTTCAGAGTTTCATCTGACACCCACTCGTGTTCTCAGTGTTCTTTCAGCCTTCCGGACAAGAACACAGAGAAACCTGGCACATATACTGAGCAACGGCACTTCTGCGTACCCTCAACTCTTCCTTCTCTCCTGCTTTTCTGTCGCTGATTCTCCAAGCTCTTGTTTCTCTACATCTGTCTCTCTTTCTCTGGTGTGGTTCCAGGGAGATCATCAGAGATGAATTTACAACTGAGCAAATACTTTGAGTCGGTTGCAGAGTGACTCTAGACACTCAATATGCGGATGAAGGAGAGAGAGAATAGGCGGGAAAAGTCAAATGTAAAATGGAAGACTATAATGATGAACAAAACATGTAAGATTCATAAACTGTTATTTTTCACAAAGCTTTTCTACAGTAATAGAAATTAAATAACAGAAATTGAAATAGAAAATAGAAATAGTAATAGAAATACAGTAATAGAAAAGCCAATCCAAAAATCCTAATGCATTTTTGTTGAGGGAACCAGAGTGATGCAAACATACGGGTTGGCCTATGAATATGTAATGTAATCATGCTCAAATTGCTATTTTTCTCTGTTTTCCAGCATCAGTGTGATGGAAGTGATCTTTTACCTCAATGATGTTGGATTCTGCAAAGCCCGGAAGTCTCTCGTCTTTACAGACAACCCCTGCGTCCTCTTGATGCGTGCAGTCGCTGTTCCCCCAGCCTCGGGACACACATTTCTCTATGCTGTTTTCCGTTCCTCCACACATGACATTATCGAGCCAGATTTTACCTGCAGGGACACGGATCTTTTTACCAGGTGAGCTTAAAACAGGGGTTTCAGATACTGGTTTTCAGATATGAAAGCACGAACTCGACAAACTACAATAGAAATGTCATTTTGGTAATAAGGTGTATTTTTAATCTTACCGTTGCCCGGTCCATACTTGGCACTGTGCGACCAGCTTAGTGCCTCCACAAACCCTAGATGACGACACAGAACATGAGCGTTGGCCAAGGTGAAGTCATCATCGCAGATAGTTCCCCACTCTCCACTGTAAAACACTTCCACTCTCCCTTCATTGTGTTTGCGAGGGTAGCCGGCCAGGCGAAACTTAATTTTTCCATCATGAGATGGAGAGGGGGTCTGGCTGAGACAGGAGGGCAGCCAGGCGGCCCATAGCAGCACGACAATCACCGAATCCCACAATTCACCTCTCAGCATGGCTTGAGCATGTGAGAGATGAAGAGAGTAAGAGAAACTAAAAGAGAGAGTGATATACAGTATATGCATTCATTTGCAAGGTGTGCATGAAATGATCATAAAATAAAGGAAAATTCACTTAAAGGAGTAGTTCACTTTTAAAAATACTTTTGCTGATAATTTACTCACCCCCATGTCATCCAAGATATCCATGTCATTCTTTCTTCATTCGAAAAGAAATTAAGGTTTTTGATGAAAACATTCCAGCATTTTCTCCATATAATGGACTTCGATGGGAACCAAACGGTTCAATGTCCAAAAGACAGTTTCAGTGCAAACTGCAAACTGTGCAAAGGGCTTTAAATGATTCCAGACGATGAATAAGGCTTTTATCAAGTGAAACGATTGGCCATTTAAAAACATAAATAAAAAAGTGTAAGTTCTATAAGCTCAAATGGTTGCCTTGCTTTGTTCTGTGACGCACGTTTGTGACTCTCCTGTTCGAACTCGTTCATCAAAATGAAAGAATCTTTTTTCGAGTCATTTGGTTCATTCAACGAACTGAATAACAAAATGAATCGAAAAAAGATTAGTTCATTTTCATCGTCTGGTGTCGTCTAAAGTCCTTTGAAGCTGCACTGAAACTCTCATTTGGACCTTGAACCATTTGGTTCCCATTGAAGTCCATTATATGGAGAAAATCCTGGAATGTTTTCATCAAAAACCTTATTATTTTTTTTCGACTGAAGAAAGAAAGACATGGACATCTTGGATGACACGGGGGTGAGTAAATTATCAGCAAAATATTTTTTAAAAGTGAACTACTCTTCTTTTCCCTTACCTTGAATTACCCCTAATTTTTCTGTAATTTTCTTACTTGCGTAATTGCATTAAATACTGTATTGCACAATTATATATATAAAACAATTTAATGTCCAAAGGTAACCTATAATGATAAAATGCATAGCCTAAAGTTCTCCCTTTAAATACACGTCAGATCAAGAATCATGTATGCATTTTTATATTATTTATTTGAAAGAATTTAAAAAGCAGTTTCATGTCTATCCTTGTATTATTCAACGTATCAATGTTGATATGGGATTAAAAAATAATTAGTAATGTGTAATACAACACTTTTTAGAGAGAGTAATTAGTACAGTAATCTAATTACACTGTTGAAGATGAAATGAGTAGTAATTAATTACTTTAGTTAAGTAACTTAACTTTAATTTAATTAATAACTTTAATTATTCAATCACAGAGTCGTGTTTAAGATCACAACACTCATAAAGTCATTCATCTTAGTGTGACGAATATTTTAAGAATCTGATGAATCGGTTTCCATTATAAAGAAACTTTTGTTCAATGGCAAGATGCTATGGATATTAAATGTTCTTCATATAATAGATGCCAATACCTTTATTTTCTTTAAAAAAATGTTTATAGTGTCCACTAAAGATATAAAACAAAATGCATTTAAATAAGACAATCTTATAGTGCTCATGCTCCACTTACCTGAATCCAAGAGACAGACACTTGCACAGGTTTCCTGGTAAGTCAAGTGGTTGTGGGCTCGGATCAGATCTTATCCCAGTTTGATCTGTAACTGGAAGCTTAAAGCATCAGGGTAAATCACAGGACGCTGTTGCTGTCTTTAGAGAGAGAGAGAGAGAGAGACAGAAGGAGAGCTGGGTGAACTGGAACTGTCGTATGCCCGTTTCACAGGTTTATTTAGAGGAGGCAGGTCTTATGTAGAGGTCTCTCTCAGAGTCAGTGAATGGAAATGTCCCGTCATCCTGTCACGTCCTCTCCATTTTTGGCAGAAGGTTGTTTTTGCATAATCTGGAAAAGATTCTCTGAGGATGCATGTGTGCAAGCAGTAGCAGGAGGAGGGATGATGAAGCACTCTCTCCTTTTAATGATATTCTTTCACATGCATTTTATAAATAATCATTCTTGCATTAACATCAAACAATTAAAGGCCAACAGCATATCCTAGACTTGAAAATTGAAAATTAGACACTTCACCTGTGTAGACAACAAGTCACCTCCAACTCAAGTCAGCTGACAACTAAGAAACAGCGCCATCTTGTGGGCACTAGTACACAGTGAGAGAGAGAAGGGAAGGGGTGGGGGTTTAGGAAAAGTCTATGAGTCAAGACTCGAACTTGTCCACCTGAAGCACAGTGTGCTGTCCACAAGGCTATTGGCACCAACAAGCCAGCATTCCCAAAATTCAGTTTGCATTGCATTGTCTGTAAATTTGCAACAAACAATGTACAGATGTTATATTTTTGATTTAAAAAAAAAAAACGTTAAAAAACTTTTGCTGATAATTTACTCACCCCCATGTCATCCAAGATGTCCACGTCTTTCTTTCTTCAGTCGAAAAGAAATGAAGGTTTTTGATGAAAACATTCCAGGATTTTTCTCCATATAATGGACTTCATTGGGAACCAAACGGTTCAAGATCCAAATGAGTTTCAGTGCAGCTTCAAATGGCTTTAAGCGACACCAGACGATGAATAAGGGTCTTATTTAGGACCCTTTCGAGTCATGACTCGAAAAAAGATTCGTTCATTTTGAACAGGAGAGTCACGAACGCTCATCACAGAACAGAGCAAGGCGAGCATTTGTGCTTATAAAATTTCAACTTTTTTATTTATTTTTGAAATGACCGATCGTTTCGCTAGATAAGACGCTTATTCCTCGTCTGGTGTCATTTAAAGCCCTTTGAACAGTTTGCACTGAAACTCTCATTTGGACCTTGAACCGTTTGGTTCCCATTGAAGTGCATTATATTGAGAATATCCTGGAATGTTTTCATCAAAAACCTTAATTTCTTTTCGACTGAAGAAAGAAAGACGTGGACATCTTGAATGACATGGGGGACATAGGTTTAAAAGTGAACTAATCCTTTAAGTGTAAAATAATGAACTTGTCCTTTAAGGCAAGCTTGCACTGAAGGAGGCTACCTGCCATTTTTTAAAATCCTTTTAAAACTGTTTGACAAATCATACTGACGACACCTTTCGTCTTCATTCATCTCACGGTGAAGCGTTGACTGCTGGTCTACAGAAACAGCGGTGTAGCACCGCAGGAACTCGTCTCACCCCCACCCGTAATTTAACTGCAAACGGGTGGGTGCCAGCGGCATGCGGCGGCCTCTCTGATCGGCTTGTCTTCATTCCCCTCACACCAACAAGGGAAAAGCAAGTCTGTGGTAAAGTGCTGTCATTTGCTGCTGTCAGTCACTGTTCAGCTTATACATATCTCTCCAGGCCCTGGGATTTCTCTTGCTCTTCAGTGTTTTTTTATTGAAAGTGATTGGTACAATTTGTTTGAGCTGCTTCAAAAAAAATTGTCCTGAATAATTGTGTTAGTGTTATCAGAGCCGCAAGGACAAACAGTAAACAGCTCAAGACTGAACTAGATTTTTGCATTTTCTGAAAAAATGTGAGTGCCCATACAAAGCTTTTGGTAACACTTTACTTGAAGGGGTGTGCATAAGACTGGCTTGACACCTTCATAACCATGACATGACATATATCATGAATATGAAGTAGGGTTTATGCATGCTTATGACAACTGTCATTAAGTGTCTTTCGCTCAATAATGACATTTTGAATGCAAATATGACATTGTTTAAGATGTTATAACTTGAGATATAACTTGTCAGTGTCTTTGGCTTACTGGACTGTGTGAAAAGCTATATTTGTTGTATTAAGATTCAGCAGGAGTGTTATTTTAGTATTATTATACTATTATTGTACAATACTACGGAGCCCCTAAGGGACATGGTGAAGGAAAAAAAAATATGTGATGAAGGAAAAAATGTTTCTCTTGCAAATGTTTAGCTTTCCCCCGAGAAAATGTTTTATACTTTGCATTCGCACGGAAAGAGCTCAAAACGTTTTGCGAGTGAATGCGAAGTTTCTCGGGGGAACGGAAATGTTTTGCGAGCAAATGCAATGTTTCTCGGGGGAACTCAAAACAAGAGAACTCAAAAGCATTGACTTTTTATTTTCCCTCCCATCTCATATTTTTTTTCCCCACCACTATTCCCCTTCAGGGGCTCTGTTAGTGTTAGGCATTTGATATTCTGTAACCATGTCTAACTGTGAATGACTTCATATGTTTGTGTTTGTTGCATTTGATTGATGAGAATTGTTGAAATTCTGAATTTGTAGTCTATATATCATATGAAATATGTTGTGCTGTCAAAAAAAGACCTTTTTAGTACATTATATTTCACTGTCAGTACAGAAAACACATTTTTAAGAGAGACCAGATCAGGAAAGCGCCATTATATTCAAGCACATCTACATATAAATGTGCGGTGGTGGTGTTTTGCTGTCATGCTGAATATGACATTGAGTGTGTCATTCACATGTACTGTGTTGCATAGTTAACAGGTGCTTTAGCTCATGAGTGTTTATTTGAGAGGGAAGGTCAATGTCACTTCTGTGCCATCCACCATAAATTCAGCCATGCATGCAGCTATAAGTGGCTGATGAACAGCTCTGTGTGCAGGTCTGGCTGGTGTCTATCTGAGAGTAATCAAGGAGGGGAGTGTGGCCCTGGAGTCTCAGTGGATTGTGATGGGCTGATGGAGTCGGAATAAAAAAAAGGAGGATGGACGGTGGCGGTGCCACTGAGTCACTTGAAGAAAAGGTGAGTGGTTGCCAGGGTGAGGCTATGCAGTTGCTAAAGTGTTCTGAGGTTGTTGTTGTTGTTTTTTAAACATGTTGCTATGTGGTTGCTAGGGTGTTTTGGATGGTTGCTTACTGAACCAAGTCAAAAGGGCACATCCTCAAGTTTCTATGATGTTCTGGCTTCTAGATAGATGGCTCGGTGTAACTTGTCGTAATAAAAAAGTGATGCTTGCCTTAGCCAACAAAATACTGAAAAAAAATAAGATTGAAAAGTAGATTGAGAGAGATAAATAGGAAAATCGTGTAATATCTACCGTTATCCCCACTGTGTTTTTTTTTTTTCTTAAACATGTCATTTCCAGCTTACTCTACAATTACACAGATAGAGGCAAGCTTGCAGCATTATCATTTACCCCACCATGCCGCAATTACCATCCTCTTCATGTTTTGATTGTGGGTATTTGTCTGCGTATAGGTAAATCTCTTACCATACACTGTCAGAAGTACACCTTACATGGGAATCGCATGCAAATGCTGAATGTGCCTGCAGACCAATTGGTCCATTCATCAACAGCAGGTAGTATTTAGACACCGCCGAGGATGCAGTCCTCAGGATCACAGTAATTACTCATTGTCAGCTCTCAGCAAGGTGATTAGCAACAAGAAACAATAGCCCTGCTTTTCAGTTTATCCCTTGAGGAAGCCTATTGTTCCTCAGGAGGGACGGTGTTTCCAAAATGACAGTGATAAATAGTAAGGCACTGACTTTATTGTCATCCAGATCTCGTAAAAGACTTGTGTGCTGCTGTCCTTCAAGAAAGTGTCACCTCATGCTGGATGGGTTTTGATCCATTGTTGCTTTAGAGTCCTCTGACACTGGTCGTGTTTTAGATTTCTGGTGCTGCAACCCTTTAAAGGATTAGTTCACTTTTCAAAAAAACATGAACCAAATGAATGAATGAACCAAATGACTCGGAAAAAGATTTGTTCATTTTGATGAACGAATTCGAACAGGAGAGTCACAAATGTGCATCACAGAACAGAGCAAGGCGACCATTTGAGCTTATAAAACTTAAACTTTGTTGTTGTTTTTATTAAATGAGCGATCGTTTCGCTTGATAAGACCCTTATTCATCGTCTGGAATCGTTTAAAGCCCTTTGAACAGTTTGCAGTTTGCACTGAAACTGTCTTTTGGACCTTGAACCGTTTGGTACCCAATGAAGTCCATTATATGGAGAAAAATGCTGGAATGTTCATCAAAAACTTTAATATCTTTTTGACTGAAGAAAGAAAGACCTGGACATCTTAGATGACATGGGGGTGAGTAAATTATCAGCAAAAGTGTTTTTTAAAAGTGAACTACTCTTTTAAGTAACCTTAAAAAAATGGATCATTACAAATCTCACTCTGAATTGCAATCTGTTGTTTATTCAGAAAACCAATTTAATTTGAAAAGAATTGGATGTTGTTTTACTGATTGTCCTTTTCACTTTCAATGACAAACCTGACTGATTGTACATACATATGGCCCCTAGGTGGCGATATAGTCTTCTGGGTGATTGACACAGCGCTGGCTCTCTCTTTCTCCCTCCGTTTTAATGGTTTGGCAGAGATAATGTGAGAATTACAGCTAATCTGTGTTTATTCCCATGAGACAATCACATTGTGTGCCTGTTCATTATTCACTGTGCCACAACATGCAGACTTAGGAGTCCAACGCAATTACACCAGATAGTCATTTAGAGAGGCCATTATTCATCACAACAGCATGCATATGCACATAGCTAAAAGAAAGAAAGAATTGCATTTCTGTGTATCTTTTTATATGGGTTAATACCATATCCTTGACCATATCCTTTGATGGTAATTAATTAATTAATTAATGCTCTCTAAGTGTGTAAATTATTGGGCAGCTGTCTCTTTAAAAGGCAGGACCGTGTGGTTACACCTCCACTCCCTCTCTCATTCTGTAGATGATGTCACTGTGGCTTCCCTTAGACCTTGGACAAATGATGTGGGTCTCTGTTTGGCGTTCCTCCTTTTTCCCACCTCCTCTCTCTCTCTCCCACCCCAGTGTCTCCATCTCGCACTCCACTGCTCTCTTCATCAACAGAGGGACAGCAGCTGAGGAAACTTGATAGCACTCCATCCCCTTCTCTTCTCCTCTTCCCTTTTTCTTAATATTCCCTTTTCTTCTCTCTATCCCTCTTTTATTCTCCAGCAGCGATGTAGTCCTTTCTCAAACTTTAACAGCTTTGACTGACATCCATCATTCCTGGACCTCTATGGATTCGTTGCTTGCCTCTTTTTGAGATCTTTCCAGAGTCGCCTCTCTTCATTCGTCTTGTGATTACCTTGTGTGTTTGGATCATGGCCATGAAGGAAACTATACTCCCTATCAGCGAGGTGTCAAGTCCGTACCCGGAGGTCGTGGAACTCAACGTGGGCGGCCAGGTGTACGTCACCAAGCGCTCCACTCTGGTCAGCATACCCGACACCACCCTTCACACCATGTTCACACGGTGCAACCCACACGAGTTGCCCCGCGACAGCAGAGGGCGCTTCTTCATCGACCGCGACGGCTTCTTGTTCCGATACGTGTTGGACTTTCTACGGGACCGCCAGCTCGTGCTACCTGAACACTTCCCGGAGCGGGAGCGTCTTCAACGCGAGGCCGAGCACTTCCAGTTGGGGGAACTTTTGAGACTTCTGAGCCCGCGTGTAGCCAAGCAAGGCTCGCTCAACGACGAAGGCTGCCAGAGTGACATTGAGGAAAGTTCACAGAGTAGCGAGTTGGTGACTCGGACTGGAAACAGCGCCACCAACTATGCAACTTCATCTTCCACCCTGGACAAGAGGTCAGGGTTCATTACGATTGGTTATCGGGGATCCTACACGATGGTGAGGGATAACCAAGCCGACGCTAAGTTTAGGCGCGTGGCACGGATCATGGTCTGTGGGCGTATCGCTTTGGCGAAGGAGGTGTTCGGAGACACTCTAAATGAAAGTCGGGATCCGGACCGTCCACCAGAGAAATACACCTCGCGCTTCTACCTGAAGTTCACCTACCTCGAGCAAGCGTTCGACAGATTGAGCGAGGTTGGGTTCCAGATGGTGGCCTGCAACTCAACCGGAACAGCTGCGTTTGTTAACCAGTACAGAGACGACAAGATCTGGAGCAGCTATACGGAGTACATTTTCTTCAGTAAGTGACAGAGCAGCTCTTGCAAACCTGCCTGCGCTGCACTCTTAATTTCCTTTTCATGTATTCCCAACCTTTTTCCCAAAAGATAGAAGGATATATTTCACAGCTCAATCCCTAGCCCTCACACACCCACCCCAACCACCACCAAAAAAAAGGAAAACATGCACTTCATTTTATGTGTGCATGCAATTTATTTATTGTTTTTAAATCATACCTTTGTAAAAACTGGTGTGACTTGAGTGCATTTCTCTTTCTGCCCACTGCGTGCAAATTAAATCTAAGTGTACTTGAAGAGAAATTTGAAGTACTTGGCATCTGTGCAAAGTTTGTTCATTATTTTGAATCTTTATTGAAGAAATGCAGAGATTATGGTCCTCAAGAAGGAATGATTCCTGTCATTTGCATGGCTTCATTTTAATCAATTTCCAAGATTTTTTTAAAGCCATTTATTTTTGACAGATATTAACCCTGTCATGTTAATGAAAGTGTTTGTTTTTTGGTTTGTTTTTAAGCAGCTAGAAAGTAGGGCTGTAACAAACGATTATTTTGATAATCGATTAATCTAACTAATTGACTTCTAATTAATCGAATTGATAGCGATTATTAGAACGATTAATCGACTAATTGCCAATTATTTTGCCGGCTAATCAGTATATTTGGAACAGTTATTCAGCTTTTTCAGTTAGTTAAAACATTGAGTTATACATATTCTTATTATAATATAAAAAAGAAAATCGGTTCAGCTTTTGAAATAGTTGTTTTAATGAACTTTGAGCCAAATAAACAGCTCATTCTCTTTAAGTTTTCAGATTTCAATCCAACTCAAATCACATACAAATGCTCTTTAAGCATTGTTTAATAATTGGACCATTGCTTTTCTTAGAACTGAAACAGAAAAAGGGTCATTTACTTACTAAAGTATTAATCTGCAAACCATTATTATAAATATAAAATTACAATCTTTTTTTACATGACAATTGAGCTGACAGAGATGTTCTCAGTCATCTTTTAATTTACATTTTGAAAAAGAAAATGTAAGTGCCATGATATTCTTCCTAACATCTCCTTTTGTAAGTCTTCATGATTATGGAACAAAATACAGGCAAGTGATAAGACTATAATCGCTGTATTGCACATGGCAGAATTGTTGGGTTTAAGTTTTGTGAAACTTTCCCTAACCTTGCTAGTTCGGATTCGTTTGCACTCCGTCATAATTCGCGCTGTTTTTTCTTTTACCGTAGTAGCATTTATAAAGGGCTGAATTACACTCTAGCGCCACAGCGCCGTAGTGGTCAAATCGCGATATTGCACGCCCAACAGCGATATTTGTTGTCAATTTTTATTGTCGACAATGTCGACTAATCGTTTCAGCCCTACTAGAAAGATAACAATATAGCAAATAACAAGTATAATTGATGACCCCCAGGTTGGGAAATCTCTTTTCTTTCCCACTCTTTCCTTCTCTTTCACTGCTCATCTGCAATCCACACTGCAATCTAGTGTCATTCCTTTAGCTTGTCTCACAATCACATGCTTTTTTCTCTCTTTCACTCTTTCAAACACCTAACTACCCATACGCACTCGCGCTCCTCTTCAATATATAGAGACTTTGATGCTGTAATTCATCGCAGTTCATGTAAATGTGTGTCATAACTGGGACAGCAAGAGCCTCGGGCCTGAAGTACTGAATAGAGAGGATAGTACACACTAGGCAATCCCACGCACCACTTTTGTCCAATCATAAAGAAGCCAAGCAGATCAAAGCTTCCTCATTAGCCAAGTTACTGTACATCAGAGTTGGATTAAATGATTTCTGATTCGTTCATTCTTATTGGCTACCTCAGATCATTCGTAAATTGTACGGATAAGCGCTAATCCACTGCAGGCTGATGCTTTCACACTGCAGTAGCTGCGAGTTCACTTTTACAAGGTCTTAACCAGAATGCAGAGCAGTCTCTCACTGAGCTTATTTATTTATTTATTTATTTATTTAACAGGGACCATACAGTCAAACATAGTCACAATACAGAGCCTGTAACTGATGCACAGCATATAGAGTTTATAGCTAATGCTAATTTACAACTCCTGTCCCTGGTTGGGCATTTCTAAATACATTATAAAAAAAAAAAAAAAAAATACATACAAATGTAAAACAATCCCATTTCTTCAAACACACACAACCAGAAAAGTAACATTCTTTTGATGTGATTATGGTCGGGCCAAATCGCTGGCAAGCTGGTTTGATTGATTTGTGATTAATTGGTTCCTGATTATTAGCATTTCTTTTAAACTGTCTTTTATTGAGTTTGTACGGTCTTTAAAACTGCTTGAAACATTTAAGCATGTTGTAGCGGGTTTTGTGCTTGTGCACATTTAAGCTGAGATAAGGCATAGCTGCGTGGACGGGTAGAGAAGTGTGAAAACATGGTGATAAGGAAAAGGACCGTCTAGGTAGGAGGAAGAAAAATCTCACTTTGGTAGACTTAAGCAAGGTAATGAAACTTCAAGTGCTAATCCTGCCGCTGCATGTCGCAGATAATGAGCAGGTGTGTGTGTGTGTGTGTGAGAGAGAGAGAGACTCAGTGAATGTGCGTGTGTGGTTAAGTTTTTAGAAGATTGAAGATAAGAGGTCCACTCTGTGAAGCTGCCAAATACTTTAAAGGGAATGTGTGTCAGTATTTCTATGTTAAATACATTTTCCGACTCAAGCTTAATATAAAGACGCTGCAGGAGACACATTTCTAAGTGGGTTTTTTCAGTGACCAGTGCTTAAATTCTTAAACTTAAATGTGGTCACATTATACAGAGACGAATATAAGTAATAGTTTCTTAGACTTGAGTTGCTTGAGCCCTTCAGAGGCGCTGAGAAGCTGTTGTAGTCAATATGGTGGCGGTGTGGAGAAAATATCAGCTAGAAACAGAAGTGAAAAGAAGTTTGCTGAACCAGAGACTGGCTGCATCAAAAAATCTCTCTTGAATAGGTACTTATTTTGAATAAGTAATTACTTCACGACTGCAAAAAAATTATGCTCTATATAGTATAAATGTTATCTGCATGTAGTACTGTAATACTGTTTTTCAACAGCTATATAATAGGGAAGTATGCGATTTTGGATGCAGCCATTGAGTGGTGCAAGTATGACATCAATTTCTAGGCCAAAATTTGGAAGAGAGTTAGCATCATCCTGATGTCAATGGTTTTTTTTTGAATAGGGTTTTGGTTAAATGGCTGAAAATTAATATGCGATATCTAAGCAATAACATTGTGGCAACAGATTACAAGCAATATTGTTAATTAAATTTAACAAATTAGAATTGAGTAATAATTAATCAAATTAATTCCTTAAAAGTTAACCAGTCAAATGATTGTGGAAAACATTATTATGTATGTTAAAACATAACCAACAACATCAGATAACCTTTTCTATTTGTTCATATGACTGTTATAAACCAGGTATATAAGTCAAACAAAACTTAATGTGAATGACTTAAGGGTCAAGAGCCCAACTAAAACAAACATTGAGCACCATAATGGTGAGTTAAAATGATGGTTTTCTCCTTCAGTGATTCTGCTTGTTAGCATCAGGTGTCTTCAATATTGGCAATATAAAATAATGAGTTCTTAATTAATCTTTGACGTCTGTCTGTTATTCAGATATTTTTGTTTTATTCTCATTTTAAATGGTTAACTTTTTAAGGAATTGATTAATTATTTATTACTCAGTTCTATTTTGTTAAATTTAATTAATAATATTGCTTGTAATCTGTTGTCACAATTTTATTGATTAGATATAGCGTATTCATTTTTACAGTGGTGAAAACAAGCTCAAGACACTTTTACTTTTTATTTTATGACATAAAATACATCCATATTACCCCTTTTGGGATTTTTTTTTAAGTGGCTAAATGCTACTACAGAGGTTGTTGGGGACATTAAACGTCTTCAGCCGAACAGCTAAACCAATTTTACAGCCTCATTATGCTTATAAACTATTTTAACTACGAATTTCATTCAGAGTTGTGCAACAGTCAGTCAAATCAATGTTTGCGGATACCATTGAAATTATTAATGAGAAGTGCCGTGAACTCCTACTTGTCGCACAATTGTCTGTGACTTCTCTTTTAAAACATTTTTTTTTTCAATGTAAATTTATTCAGTTTATTCAGCGTAGTGAAGCCTCTCTTCCATTGACATCCTTTTTAAAAAAAGATCTCTGATCGCTTTTTAGGCTAAGATCGCAGGCTTGCCTTCAAGTGACTTTGGCTGAACTTTACTTTTACTCTTCTCTACTTCATGTATAATATATTGTTCATTGGGAATTGGTGGATTTAAACAACAAAAACACCAGTCCTCTAGTATCCAGACTGACTGTGTATCTCCAGTATACTATAATACTGAACCGTGCACAAGAACTTAAACCTTATTGATTTTGAGGATTTAGAGAGTTTATGGGTTGACCTATGTTAAAAATCATTTATAACTGCAATTACATGCACATTTAGAAAAATGCATTCTTTCATAGATAGATAGATAGACAGACAATACTAAATGCTTTTCTAATTTAATTATTATTTTATAAGTATTTCTCCCATTTTATTTTTATTTCAAATGTACTACTACTTAGTATAACAGTGAAGAAAGTGTGCCTTTCTCTTTCTTGTCTATCTGTCTCTCTTAAATTTTGGACACAGTCCTGTCAGTTTATAATTTGCGTATAAGATTGCAGAGGCAGAAGTGATTGAGAGCCAGAGGGAAGAAGGCGAGAAGTAATAAGTGAGAGAATGAGGGTGAGGGGGTGGAGCGGTCACCAGCGGTCCCGACTATAGCGGGGCTGTCGTTCAAGCTTAGCGTGACGTGTGTCCGCCCTGCGGGAGCATCAACGCCGCTCCTTATCTCTGTCAGGATGCTGATCACAGCTCTGGAGGCTCCGATGAAGGATGCGGACATGCCCCAACATGCCAGAGGGGCTTACAGTACAAAAGCTGCTAGTTAACAATAT